GCGCGAGGGGTGGGGTGGTGGGGGCAGGTATATGGAGAGTGGGTTGGTGGTGGTGGCGGATCAGGAGCGGTATGTTGGCGATGGGGAGGCGGAGAGCGGGAGGCGGTATGTGCAGGGTGCGTTGGAGAATGTGCGGGCTGCGGCGGTGGGTCAGGGAGGGGGAGACGGGCAAGCGGATGGGAAAGAGGACGGGGAGGGCCAGGCGCGGCGACCGCGCATCGGTTCGTGGTATCACTGGCTACGCGTCCGCGATGGGCGATAGCGGGTACGTGAACTGGGGGAGTGGATGGGCCGACGCGGAGGCTTGTGTGGCGTTTGCTCTGGAGAAGATCCGTAGCGAAGACAGGGAGGGGAGAGTTACGATCGAGTGCGGCAAGAGGGTGGAGAGGTTGCTCTTCAGCGATCCCCAGGTCGAACCTGAACTTGATCGTGCTCCTCCCATCAACCAAAGCGGAGCCGCAACCCCCGAGCCCAGACCCAAACCGGTATGCACCGGGATCCAACTCTCGAGCGGCGAGATCCGCCACGCGAGCCTCGTCATCCTCGCCACCGGATCCTGGACCCCGACTCTGGTCGACCTGCGCGGTCGCGCCATCGCTACCGGACAAGTGCTGGCGTACATCCCGCTCAGCGAGGGCGAGTATGCGGCGTTAAGCCGCAAGCCGGTGCAGCTCAACATGAGCAGCGGCATGTTTGTCATGCCGCCCCGAGCCAGGGAGGGCGAGTCCCGGCGCGAACTGAAGATCGCCAGGCATGGATTCGGGTATCGCAATCCGAGGATGGTGCGGGAGCCTGCGCTGGCGCAGCGGCGGAGGAGGGATCAGAGAGCAGATGGGAGGGGTGAGGAGGACGCGATGCGGGGACCGGAGAATGTAGAACCAGGAGCAGGAGCAGGAGATGGAGATGGAGAAAAAGGAAAGGATGGACATGAGATGCTCGAGATCTCCGTGCCGGACACCACCATCCCGATTCCCCCTGAAGGCGAGGAGGCATGCAGGAAGATAGCCAGAGAGGCCTTTGGGCATCCAGATCCAGCCTCGAATCCAGACTCGGATGTCAAGTTGAAGGAGTTGCATGAACTGGCTGCACTGGCAGACCGTCCCTTCTCCCGAACAAGGCTCTGTTGGTACTGCGACACGTATGCACTCCCTTTCCACTTGATATTTTCATGGATAGATTTTGATTATCTTCCCCTAGCCCCTGGCCTCCCTCCCACACATCTAATCTAATAACTCACATCATTATATCCCCACTCCCAAAGTACCCCTTGACTGATCCCTGCACCAGGCCATCAGGCAATTTCCTCATTACCGCGCACCCGCACAGCAGAAATCTCTTCCTCGCCACTGGCGGATCGGGCCATGCGTTCAAGTTCTTCCCCGTAATCGGGGACAAGATCGTCGATGCCATCGAGGGAACCTTGGAGCCCGGGTTGCGCGAGTTGTGGCGCTGGAGGGATGATGCGGAAGCTGCTGACGACATGTTTGACACGACGGGGGATGGCAGTCGCGGCGGGCCGAGGGGGATGAGGTTGGATGTAGAGGTTGGGAGGGGACGGTAGGGAAGGGCTAAAGCGAGTAAGAGAGGGTACAAAGGGGGAAAGATGGGGGTAGATTAGATCTGGAGCAGCCGTTTTGGGGGTTGGTGACTTCGGTCTGCTCGCCCTCTCCCTTGTATGAGCGTGATCACAACTAGAGTGGAGGTAGGAAAGCAATGGGTGGATGGCTGCACCCAGTGAAGCTTGAGAGACATGGAAGCAGCAGGTAAGTGAGTGTGGATCCGTATCAAAACGCTCAGCGTCTCTATACTTTCCACAATAAACTCATGTCCGAGACTCGACGCTGCGCCTTTCTAATGTCACTGCCAGCTCCTGCATTTTGTTACCATGTCCTTTTACCAGATTCGTGAGTCATTTTCAAGTTTGCTCATTATGGTCTCGCAACAGTCAGCAATTCAGATATCAACAGCCAATTTTTTCAAGCTCTGGTGTCATGCTTCCATTGAACCCACCACAGCACATTGAGATATAACAACATCGACCATCTGTCCAGCATACCGATCTTCTGGTTTGGGCACCAACGAGACACTTGCCTCTCCACAACGGAACTTCAGCGTTCGGATGAACTCTTGATCCAGCACGGACCTGGCAAACGGAACTCTTGTCACCAGGCCACTCCAGGTGAAATCTGCCACGCAATTGGCGGCAATGGTATTTGCAGGAAGTGCCGTCCACGGATTGGCACGAACGTAGCCGAAGTCGGCAAGGTTGATGTAGATAAGTAGAGTTTGTAGCTGGTCCATGTGTCGTAGAGTCTGTACAGCCGACCTGAAATCAAAGGAATGGGACCTGTCCTTGGACGGTGTGTTTGACCTCACCTTTGGCCATCTGCCATATTCACCTAGACGCACGGAGACGTGCCGAATTCTATCCACCATCGGGTTGGACAGGCATTCCAAGGCGCTGAGCAAGAGATCTGGGTTCGAGAAACACCATGTCGTCCTGGCGAAGAGGGAATACCAGAATTCGTGGTAAAACTGCCTGTTCAGAAAGAATGGCCGAACGGACAAGGTCTGGAAAATTAGTCCTTCCCGTGTGTCTGTAAAATATTGCAACCGCACTCTTCCGCAGCCTGTTGATACATGTAAGAATGAAGGGATCCACAGGTCATAGATGTATCTCCGGATCTCGGCAGGCAGATCGAGAAAGCGGAATGGCTGTGCAGGCCTGGTAGCAAAGGGCGCCAGTTTGGCACTGGAAGGTACTTCATTTCTTGGGACCAGGACTGGGTAATAAGGAGATAATCGCGTACTCATTTGGCATCAGAATTGGGTAACGGCCTGAACAGCTGCCGTGGTCGAGCGATAACAGCACGGCTGTCAATTGTCAATTGCACTTTTCAAGCTTCGCTCAAGGAACTCGATGAGGAACTCGATGAGCAACGTCTTTTGATGACAAGTTGTCCAGCTTGGATTATTGCGGATATGCGAGATGCGGTGTAAAGAGAGCAGCAACCACAGCAGCAACCACAGCAGCAACCACAGCAGCAACCACACCTCCAACGTCGGAGCACGATTGATGAGAAGCAGAATGTTTCTGGAAGATGAGGCAATCAACGACTCGACCGAGCCGGAGGATGATGGAGCCCAGACCAGAAGCATCAAAAGCAATTTATGTAAGCAGGAACAGCCTTGTGCCTTATGTTCACATGGAAATGAGACATTGAAGGACGAGAGGAATACGGAGCACACATTGTATCAGCCAGCAAGAACGAGGCCAAATGTCACTGGGCGGAAGCCGCCGGTCTCCAAACTCATTCGAAAACTTGTTCGAGACTTTGGTATCGCTCTCCACAGAATATCATACGGATGCTTCATTTGATGCTTCATTTCCGTTGCCAGAAGAGTTGTACTTCTATCAAAAGTATACTAATTACATCGTTCATGAAGGGAAAGCTCGCCCGCGCTTGTCAAACGAGCAAACGAGCAAACGCTGGCTCCCCTCAGCCGCCTCGCCGCCTCTCCACCACCTGACAGATCTAGCATCTAACATGCGCCGTGCCTCCTATGCTTGTGATGTTCTGACCCCCAACTAGTAAAAGCGATCAGAGGAGCTGGGTAAAAAATGAAGAGCAGGTACCGGTCATAAATGGCAGCCTGGTGTCAATCAAACAGGGAACAGATCATGCAGAGCAGCAGTAATATTCACCACATCTAAAACCCAGAAAACATTCCATCAAGTTCATCCAGCTCAACATTCTCGGGAGATCTCAACTCCCAATTCGTCATCTCGACATCTTGTAGACCAATCTCCGTCACAAGCGCGGTGACTTTCTTGACATTGGTAGCGTGATCATCTTTGGCAGCAATCATAGGACTGCTGAGTAAGGCGGTCTGGTTGGGCACAGCAGGCGCACCATGGGCATGGCCGAACAACTCGTAGCCCAATTCTTGATCTCGTTTATGCGTCATCTCGGCCGTCTCTTCAATACCCTCCATCTGTTGATTGCTTCCTTGATCCAGGCTACCTTCAATCGATGTATGGACGCAGGACTCATTCAGGCTCATACCCCGAGCGCGCACAGCTGTGGCCGTCTCGGTAAAGCCTTTCTCATCAGCTTCAAGTGGTGGGCTTGGCGCCCTGTTCTGAGCGGTTCGGTGTTCTGCGATCGATCCGTCCCGTGTCAGACTGCTCCGACCACTAAAGCTTTCTCCTGGAGTCGGAGGATTCATGGGCTGATCATCATCCAGATCTGGCGAGGATAGGTCGACCTCAGGGCTAGGACTCATTCGAAGACGCTCTCTTGTTTCCAGGTCGATGTCATCTTGGTCAATGCTCGGTGAAACGCTGGGAGTGAGACGCTTGACATTCGACGCCGTCGGAGCTATTATATCGTCCGAGCTTTCTGGTAGCTTCTGATGTGGTGTGGTGGTAAGGTAGAAGAAGACCTTTCGCGGATGCACCGGGATGAGCTCCTTGGCCAAAGGACAAGGGGCAAGGGCGGTCCATGGTCTCTTGAGGTAAAGACTTAATCGAGAAGATAGAAGAGCTGCAGGATTGGCGGAACTGCGGATGCGATCAACCACGTCAGTGTTTGCGTCGTTGGTGGATGGGAATGGATATACATACTGTGCAACGCTGTCATTGGTAGATGCAAGAACAGCTGCCAGTTCCTTGATCAAATGCGGCCGGTTGCCAGTCTTCTCTAACTGATCAATCACAGCAATCACAATGTCATCATTGATACCCTCCGTATCAATCTTGATGTCGAAATGTGAGTTGCCTGGTGAAGGTGGTGGTGTATGCGCAAGGCCCCCACGCCGACTCTTTGGTTTCGAGGCAGTACTGTCAGTTGGAGAAATCACAGATGCATCAGATGATGATATTGGAGACACTGGAGTATTGTCGCCGTGGGATCGCTTAACTCTTTTCGAAGGATGTTGCAATGTTTCGGCGGTTGGTGTACATTTCGAGGGCGAGCGGTGAGCGCGTGAGGCGGCCGGAAGCTGGATTCCCAGCGAAGGCAGCGATAGTGACTTGCGACGAGTATTATAAGGCATGTTGACGACGAATGAGGGCTGAAATGGTCGTGATAAATTCTTGTCAGTGAAGAGCAGTTGGATGGTGCAAGCGACCAGGAAAACAGTGAATCTTGGTGAAGCAGAATTATTGTTGTGATTGACGATTTCAGGCCTCTGAGAATAGTATCCGGACCATGGGTATGTGTTGGATGCAGAATGTCGGTCGCCGGTTGATTGGGCAGTTTGACTTGGGGGAAGAATGCACGAAGGGGGCGGCGATTTGATGGCGACGAATCAGATCTGCGTCACCAGTGCAGAGCCTGCAGCAGTCCGCTTGGGATACTCCCTTTCACTCGATCAAATGCTGGTTGCCTTTCCACGCAAGGCAATTGGGTACAGGCGGATTCCACTACCAAAGAAATCGATGTGACGAGTTGAGGCGGTAAGCTGACCGTTTCCCTGCCGATCGTAACTTCTGTTAATGTTTTTAGGCTGACTTTTAGACCTAGTCCAGTATGACATCTACCGGATATGTGAATGTGCGTAGTAGCAGACGGATGGAGGCCAGAGCGTAATGCAAGAATGTATCAGGAGTCTGGCCGCAGGGAGGCGTGAATGCTGGTATGGGCTATACGAGATTGATTGCGGAGAAAGCAGTACTGCCTACGTAGAGTATCGTGAACTGCTATCGTGCACTGCTGGAGAAGGATGCGATGGAAAGGGAGAAGGAAGGAGCTGTGACACACGACAAGACCAGGTCGGATCCGCACCCTTCCCTCTTGGGCGGCAGCGAGCAGTTAGATTAGGTTGATTAGGTTGATTAGGTTGGTCAACTCGTTAGCACCCCGGTCCAAAGCATGGACACAAGCCTCTTGCCTGAGTTTTTGGGATGCTTAGGCTGAGACTTTGGGGAACCACGCGCGAGATTGGGCTGGAAGCCTGGAAGCATAGTGTCAGCCTTTCACGCGTTGCAGGGTCTGGCAGGCAATGCTTGAGGAGCCGATGTGAAGCTTTAACTTTGTCCAATTAAAACTTTTCAAACAGCAGGAGCTGAAAAAAGACGGCAAAGTGCCGTTGATCGGCTATGATGCACCCCAGCTGTTGACTAACACCAGCACTACTCTACTACTAGCTGAAACCTTGAACCAAGTCCCCTGCGGGACTTAGTGCGTAGTGCCCGGCTTCGTGGACGATATAACCAGTACTACGTAGTAAACTACCAGTAGCTTGAAAAAGATCCCTCAATAAAAGGCGACTCAAAGAGCGCTTCATCTGAAAAACATCAAGTTCCCGGACGTGCTTACGCGGAAGTCGGAAAGAGTAGCCAGTCGTGTCGTCAGGGCTGGTCAATTCAATTATTGAAATGTTGCCAATTTACCTGCCTAGCCGTAGGATCCAGGATGCAGATGCGCAGCAAATATGACTCGTAAGGTGTGCTGTGATGGGAACTTACGCCAGCACAAATAGCAGACATGATCGAGAACTCATGCAAGGGTCCCGGCCGCATAGCAACACGTTTGCGGTACGTGCAGGGTGATGACATGGTTGTCTTAGGAGATATGACCACGCCCGTGTCTAGAATAAAAGTACTCGTGTCTTCCGAGAGCATATCTTCGACATCGTGCATCAGCAATTATGCAGCTGCTATGCAGAGGAGAGTGTTATTTATGACTTGCCCCCCACCTTGCCTAAGTAGCGCCGAGCTGCACCATGCTAGTGCTTCCAGAACTCTTCCGGCCAGCCAATACCTTCGGATTATGCAGCGTGACAGGGGCTCAGCCCAACAAAAATCTTACCACGCTTCACAACCAATTGCTAAGTTCTGCCTGTCAACTTTTTCGTGTTGCCCCCGCCAGGCCAGATCTGAGGGCAAGATCCAGATGCCTGTTGGGTGACGACAAGAGGCGGAGCCGCAGTATGGGTGACCATGCGGTAAATCCCTGTTGATCAATCTTGTCGTCGACGGGTTTGGCTGTGAGTTTTTATGTTGACGGTGATGCAAGTTCCTGGTTTCTGGTTTCTCAATTAGTGATAATCTGGGCGAGATTTGCCCAGCGATGCCATCGCTCCAACCTTTCACTGAATCGGCAGTCACTGTACACGCTTGTCATAACTCCATGGTGATCTTCGAGTTCTCCTGAATCTCTTTTCCAGTCGTGGAAGTGATCAGCGTGAGAGTCTGATTGAAGGATAAGCACGGTGGAGCCGGGTTCAAGTTTTGGGTTTGACCCATCCAAACGCCACAGAAGAGGTAAATCTGTGTGTCCAGCTGGTTGTCGATATTTCAATCCATGTTTGGGTTCTTGTGAACAATCGAAACACAGCTGAGTAAGATTCTTCGTCTCTGATTCCGCTGCAGGTAATTCATAGAATGATAGTGATAGAACGACCAAACACGACATTTCCGCGTGTTCATCTATCCAGTCGGCTGAGCCTTTTGGGTGCTTCTGAGATCTGGCTTGCCTTTCAAACGTCGCGTCTTATCTGCTTTCCGCTAGAACAGACCTTTTGGATATAAGGGAATCAGTTCGTCTTCTTGCTTTCCTTATCAAAGGTATCTTCAACGCCGGTATGTGTGAGCTCCAAGGCCCAAGTAGTCCCAAAGTGGTACCTTTTCAACCCTGCAATTTGTAACCCACTGTCCTTCACGATCTTGCCAATATCTCGATTCCACCAGCAGCCAAATCGGTCAGCATGCTCTTTAGCCAAGCCGTCCAGAACATAATTGATCCACCAGTAATGGCCTCTGCCATGCTCCAGTAGAAGTACACGACCGCCTTCTGTCCCATTCGGGCCTGGCTTCTTGAGTAGGTCCTTCATCGTCCTCATGTACTCCACAGGGTCTGTTATACTGCAAAGCCCAAAGGTTTGAATGATTGTATCAAATCCAGTACTCCCAGGAGGAGGGGTAATGGCTTTCTTCACGCCTGCGTCGGCTACCACAAATTCCACTCGGCCCCTGAACTTGGGATGTTGCTCTTTCCATCTCTTAGAACATATCTGCAACATCTTCTCGCTTTGATCCACAAACGTCATGCTCTTGATTCTCTTGCCTTTTGCTTTGACCCTGCCGGTTTCACCACCCTCGCCATATGTCCCTAAATCGTAATACCCACCGTTTCTGCCTGTGCCAGCACTGACCTCGAGCACATGCCCCTTGGCTTTTTGACACAGCTTCTTTCTCTTCCCATCCAACCGCATCACCTTCTCCATTGTATCAATATCTTCATCGTAACGAGTGGCAATATTATTGTAGCGATCGGAAACATCGGCATCTTGCTCCAATTCGAGCTCTTCAGACTTCTTCCATGCAGCCTTCCAACCAAGGAAGACAGAAGTGCAATATATGGACAAGCAGAAGCCTGACAGACCAACTATCCAGAGCCAGCCCGTACGAATCTGCGGAGGCGGTTCAATTGATGCCGAGGTGCTCTGTGGAATCTGTCTTCGCAGTCCTGTATCACGGGACGAGGACGGTAGGCTGGCCATTTGGTATTCAGTCAGTATCTTTCAGGAAGGGCGGTAGAGACCAGGTTGGAAAAGATCATAGACGCAACATACAGGGCACGAGTCGGCTTGAAATACGGTTTTGATTGCGATGTCGACCTGGAGGACAATGTCCTCCAATTTCCTCTCACATTCCATCTTATTATTGTTGCTTGGGCGGGAGAATATGCGTATCTGCTCGGCACACGGGAGCACATAATACACCAATCGAGTACTCCTTCGAAACCATCATTTTAATTGTTCATCATCTGGCCAATGTGCGCCATTGTTTGATATCGACCCTGTCAGCATCTGAGGTGCACCCAAAGACGATGAACTACGATGTAGCTCTGCCAGTGCGAGTCATGTACTACTAGTAATTAGTGGCATGTTGTCTAGTTAACATGGCGATCTAATCTTATCTCCAGCTTACTTCATTGCATGTGAACTTCTCAAACCCGATCTCCAATAAAGACATTCAACCTAACTCACCTTAACAAGGTACCAGCTCGGTATTGTCGGAAATAATCATGGTCTTATATCTGTCCTAAAAGTAGCCTGGGATGTTGCATGTACACCTCTATCACATGCTATACCGCGTCAGTAAGTCTTCGACCCCTCAGTAATGATAATGATTGGACATGCACTGGGGATCAAATAGACAAACACTCTTTTGAGTACTTTAAGTGTACATTCGTCAAGGCTGAGTTAAATACAAAGGTGTAGCTTAGAGCCAACAATACCTATGTCTTCTACTGTTATTGGTCGTATTCCGGGGAGGGCATAAATATTGTTAGATGAGTGCTAGTAGCAGCTAGTTGTACTAGTAATATAGCGTCACTGACTCTGCTTAGCTTCGATACATCTCCTTGGCGTCTGCTTCACTGGGTTTTGGTGGTTGGCAAAACTAATCATGACGAATTCACCCTCTAATAGGTCCAGATACTTGGTAAGGTGATCAGAATTTGTTTTCTGCTTCGTAAATCAAGCATTCCAATATTTCTCCGTTGAAGAAAATAAGATACCTAGATTACTAGGTAGTCTGTAAACAGTTGTTTCAGAACAAGCTTACTAGCACTAGTCAACCTAATAATATTTTGACCCTCTCCCGTAGTAAATGGCGGCGGTTGGAAGGAAAGATGACGCAGCAAACCTCGGTTCTACATCGCCTCTTAGATCCTAGAGGTTGTCAATTATGTCGTCTGAGGTTTTAGATAGTTGTCCCATTGACAATGACTTCGAAGAGTATCGCCAGGTCTCTCTTGAGACCCCAATACTTCTGCAGAGCAAATATCTCAGCGCTGAACTCGTCTGCGGCCAATTTATCACTGAGAATATCTTTAGAAGTAAGGCGAACGACTGCGAAACGGCCTGGACTCAGCAAAGTCCCTGCACGAGCTTTATCGACGTCCATACCCAGCAGATATGCCACAGTGGAGGAGTCGTTGGATTTCCGGGAACAGGATCGTGAGTCAGATAAGGTGGATGTCTGTATTGTTGGTGGAGGTAATGGTCTTGTATGCCACTTACTAGCATCGACTGATCTCTCGACACTCAGGCCCCGCTGGACTGAGCGCAGCGATCAGACTCAAGCAACTCGCCAATGAAGCAGGCAATGAGGAATTCCGTGTGATAGTGCTCGAAAAGGCGTCTGAGATTGGCGCTCATATCCTTTCTGGCAATGTCCTTGAACCTACCGCTATCAACGAGCTGATACCCGACTGGCTCTCTGAGAACAATGCATCCAGATACGATGGTGCAACGCCTGCCAAATCAGACAAGATGCGCTTCCTTACCAAAAATTCCTCGATACCTCTGCCCGCGCCTCCTCAAATGCATAACAAGGGCAACTACATAATAAGCCTATCACAATTCTGCAAGTGGTTAGGGGAGAGGGCGGAAGAGGTTGGTGTCGAAGTGTATGCTGGTTTTGCTGGTTCAGAAGTGCTGTACAGCAATGATGGGGCTGTCAAGGGTGTGGCTACAAACGACCTAGGCGTTGGACGAGACGGGAAACCGAAAACAAGCTTCGAGAGGGGCATGGAATTCCATGCGAGACTGACTCTCCTTGCAGAAGGATGTCATGGAAGTCTGACAAAGCAAGTCTCGAAGAAGTTCGATTTACGGCGGGAAGTGTGGGAAGTGAAGCCGGAAAACTTTAAGAAAGGAGAGATCTCTCACACGATGGGCTACCCGCTGAGCAAAAATGTTTATGGAGGTGGCTGGATGTACCACTACGGAGATAATCTGGTCAGCTTGGGGCTGGTGGTGGGGCTCGATTATGCCAATCCATGGCTAAGCCCATATGGAGAGTTTCAGAAGATGAAGCACCATCCATTCTACAAATCGGTCATAGATGGTGGTAAATGCATCGCATATGGGGCCAGAGCATTGAACGAGGGTGGCTACCAGTCGATACCGAAGTGCTCGTTCCCAGGTGGCGCGCTGATCGGAGATACGGCCGGATTTTTGAATGTACCCAAAATCAAGGGCACACATACTAGCATGAAAAGTGGCATACTGGCGGCGGAAGCAGCATATCCGGCTTTGGTGGACACTGACGCAAGCAGTTTGTTCTTGTTCGATTACGAGGACAAGCTTCGTGAATCATTTATTTGGAAGGAATTGAAGCAGGTTCGCAACATGAGACCATCATTTCATACTCCGCTCGGCATCTATGGCGGTATCATGTATTCCGGATTGGAGGCATTTCTCTTCAGAGGTCAGACACCATGGACTTTCCAGCACAAATCTGGAGACCATGCAGCGACAAAATCGGCGGACCAACAGCCTAGGATCGAATACCCAAAGCCAGACGGCAAAATTAGCTTCGACATTTTGACCAGCGTTAGCAGAACGGGCACAAATCATGAAGAGGATCAGCCCGTGCATTTGCAGGTCAAAGATTGGGATAGGCATGCCGAGATGGAATATCCCAAATATAAGGGTGTCGAAAACCGCTTCTGCCCAGCAGGAGTCTATGAATATGTTGAAGATGAGAGCAAGGAGCTTGGGGTTAGATTCCAGATCAATGCACAGAAGTAAGTAGTTTGAATGTCGATTCAGATTTATCAAAGCTAACTCTGAAAAAGCTGTATTCACTGCAAGACTTGCGACATCAAGGACCCCAGTCAGGATATCAACTGGTCTACGCCTATCGGAGGGGATGGACCAAAGTATTCAATGACATGAACTGTATTGCGCTCTTCATTTGAAAGTAGAAAAGGAGGACGTACTGCTCAGCTAACGTCAGCTTCCGAGCGACCAACAACCTGCCACCATGTATCAAGATATCTCGGATCGACGTCGGTTGATGACACAGTGAGTATACGGGGCTTGATTCAGGCAAAGCAGGGTGAACATAAATGAAGGAAGAGATGGGCTGTCACGTCCAATTTTTCCTAAGCCAAATAAGTGAGCATAGTGGTTGGTACAATGCTAGGAGCTGTAGGGTACCACAAGGTCTGGCCAGTCGATTGTATATATGGTACAAAATGTAATATGGCATCAGGATAGGTGACCAAATCTCTGCAGACATTCGTATCAGCTCTTGTACGGAGTACGACTAATGGTAATTGAAGTATTATCATGCTGGGCGTTAACCTACCATCCGGCTAAACCACAAATGGCTAGCTCAACCGGGTGCAAAGTGAGGCTGCGCTCAGCATCACGAGGCTAACAAATACTTCTCCGCCCGACACCTTCAACCATCCATCAACAATACTATTACTATCCTTCAGCACGAAAACCAACAAAGTTGCGCTGCAGCTTTCCAGATATTCCTTGCGCTAGGGTCGGGGACCCAACACTCCAGGTTCTTCTCCAGCTGTATTGGAACGTCTCCTGGTTCTGTGGTCGCATCGCTGCTGTCAAGATGAGCGAGGTCTCGTCGACCCGGCTCTATCTGGGCAATCTTCCTCGCACTGGTATGCTGGTTCCACTGTTCTCTGTGATACTCCATCTGCCTGTTCGGTGATGCCTGGGACGTCTGCCTGGGGCGTCTGTTGGATCCTTTGTCAGGGCGCGACAATTTGTTCCTCATGGAGGCCTCACTTCTTCCCTCACCGGTTCCAAGGCTCTGGTCCAAGCTGACCCCGCGTTTCTCTTAATTCAGCTACAAAGCAAGACATTGAAGAACACTTCAATAGAGAAGGAACTGGCAAGATCACCGAGGTCAAGCTTATGAATGGCTTTGGTTTCATTGAATACGAAGATGCGCTGGATGCTCGAGATATTGTCCCAGGTAAGCCCATCAACTCTTCAGCACGTATCAAATGACTAACGAGAGGTACAGTTTTCCGTATGCGACCTCCTAGAACTCAACCTTGCCAGCTTTAACCGTTTGCTATAGATGGAAGTGAGTTTAAAGGAGAACGCCTCACAGTACAATTCGCTCGGGGACCACGTCACAAAGAAAACTTCAATGGGCCATCTGATCGCAGCGCGCCTCCTCGTCCACGTCGAACAATATATCGAATGCAAATAACGGGTCTTCCTACCGATACCAGTTGGCAGGTCAGCAGAGCACATTTTCTTTGGTCTACATACCTTGGCCTGATTGCTTTACTTGCGGCAATTACCCGGCTTCCCTATTCGAAACATTTCTTGTGATCTGGTACGCATCAAGAAGCTGTGAATGCATGAATCACCCAACCAGAGATCACTGCTGCGTCGTCAACCTTCTTCCTAGGGCCACTCATTTCCTATTATTTGTCATTTTCTACCCCGGGATAATTGTTCTACTTTTAAATTCTGCACTTGGACATGTTTGAAGTGCTCGCATAAGAAGTGCGCTACCGAATCCATTTCCGGTGATTGCACATGTTTTCTTAGTGGCGATAAACCCAGCATTAGCTAGTAGCTCACAGACCACAGGATCTCAAAGACTTCGCCAGACAGTCTGGACTTGATGTCGTCTATTCCGAGACCGGTCGCGATAGAGATGGGAAAGGGTGAGTCTTACCTGTACATCTAAGGTCTGGTACTGATTTCCTAGCTTTGTTGAGTTCGAAACAGCCAAAGACTTGAGCACTGCTGTTGAAAAGCTTGACAACCACGAATTCAAAGGCACGACCGTTCACTGTGTTTCCGACGTAAGTGCTGAGTTTCCTATGAAGTTCAATGAAATCAAGTCCTCCGTCTCACTTACACCGCTCCATTACTAGATTCAGGAAGAACGCCCACAGCGAGACATGGGCTATCGATCTCGTACTCCTCCGCGTCGCTACGGACCACCAGGATTTGACGAACCTTACGACCGTCGAGGTCCCCCTCCCCGGGGCTATTCTCCAAGAGGCTATCCACGCGAACGTTCACCGGGAAGAGGACGATATGATGACTATGGCCGTGACTATGGAAGGAGAAGTCCACCACTACCAAGAGGACGATTGGATGACGGATATGGACATGGACCACCGCCTCCACGACGAGCACCCTACGAACACGATCCTTACGACAGACGAGGACCGCCACCTCCAGGTGGCTATCCTGACCCATACAGAAGTGGAGATCCATATGCCAGACCACGGAGTCCACTACCAAGGTATGGCGGTGGCGGTGGCTATGGCGGATATGAAGATGGAGCTTATCCAAGACGATATTGGTAAATTCTTCACTTTCCTGCTCCTGCTGATTGGCTGCCCCTCGAATGGGTATGTCATGACGAAGCACCAGCTCATTTCATTTCTGCTAGAACGAGTCGATCCTCTACTCCTGTACAGCGCAGTTCCTATGCTTGACCAAAGGTAAATGACGACCGTCAAGGATATCCCGAAAATGTTCATGCGCTCGAAAAAGATATGTGGTTGGGTTGAGGTCGAAAATGCTTGGTCACGGCGCAGCATCTTTTGAAAGGGTATCACGGCGCCCTAATGCAGAACAAAACGTTCCAGGTTGATTTCATGACACTCCACGCACATCTCGAATGATTGGTATCATTTCCCCAGCTTTTCAACACTTCTGGTTTCAGCAAGACCAATCAAGACTGCCTCTTTGGAACCCCCCAGGCTTCATTAACTTGTTTTGTCCTTTGCAGCCGGATAGTCACTTGTAACCAAATTGAACTCCATAGGAAGGACTTTGCTGGACAGCTAACCGGCTAAAGCAACCCTTGTTGTATGCACCTGCTTCTGCTTGAAGAACCTGGCTTGCTCTCTTCTTGCCCGGCCCTTGCTATCGTGTGAACACCTAACCCAAGTCAACGTTCTTCCCACCAGGATTGTTGCTGTTTCGTGCTCTTGCGACTACTGCCGACCAGAAGAAAGAGGCATGTATGACTTTGGCAGCTCCATCTACCGACACGTCGTCTGCATCTGCCTATCGGTACTCATCTTAACCCACCAGCATCTCTCGCTCTGGGCCATCGTTCCCACACCGGAAATCTAGGCAGGCTGTGGCATACCCGTGTTTGCATGTCTCTTTCCTTCCCCCTTTCTGCCTTCTCACTCACTCCTGGTGAAAATCACAATCCGTGAGATATCCTCTGTCCCATCCCCAACTACCGCTCAAGGCTACCTTCCTCTTACCGTACCACCAGATTGACTATTCCTGGTCGGTTGACCAATGGGAGAAGAATCAGACTCAGACCGGAGCGGACCAAGACAGGATAACTGGCCGGCTTGCCATTCACGGCCTGATACTTTCCTCTCACTCTCACTTGTCCGCCATCAGTTCAGCACTTATATGCTGGACCTAGCTTCTGGCCACTCCCTCCCTACCCTTGTAACTAAAACCGTTCCAAAGCTCTACTACCGTACCAGGCATAATTAATGTAACCCGCGCGCTAGTAACAGGGTATCAAAACGCCTCCTTTACAGCTCCCCTAACGCTGTGACCTCGCTGCCGCTGTTATACGCGTTCTTATTGAATCTACGCGTTATTCTACTGATTCTGTTTCATTCTACACCATCTACGCCATCTACCAATTCATCAAACTTTACAATGCCAGCAAGGTGCCAGGCAGTCATTGAGGCTAATGGAATGCACACTCGATACTGAGCAGATTTGTGGCCTTCTATCTTGGCATTTACAAGCTGTTACTAGCGTACGAGTGATATTCAATATGCCTGGTACCGAAGTATGTATGTTGTGATGATGTACTGAATTGGAACTTATTCACAGCGATCTTCCTAGAGGGGTGCGTCAAGGATAGCGTAGTAGGTGCAATGTAAGCTAGTTAGGACGAAGGAAGACGGTTCATCAATAGGTTTGTTGGTTGGTTTTTCTCTATTGTAGCAATATTACGCCATTAAGCACCGACTACCAAAGACCTGAAGGCAACGCTACGTAAACACAGCCTCAACGACAACCTACACCAGCCCAGTTCGTCCCTTGATGCATCCTTTTTCACTCCTTTCTGCACCGTGCGCAATGACCTGCAGGCACGCCAGATCCCGCACCCAGCTCACAAATTCTGCATGATGCCCGGCTGAATGGCTTCGAGTTTCCGGACAATCTCATCCCAGACCCTCGTGTGTAACTGGCCTCCCTGCTTTTCCGTGTCTTTGCTCACCATGGGCGCCACCCTGGCGACCTTGCATTCGCTCAGATACTGTCCATGGGTCTCCTCGCCCGCGGCGGCGGCGTGGACGAGGGTGCGGCTGCCCTCCTCGGTGGAGCGTGCCAGCAGGAACTTGATGAAGCGGACGCCGAAGCCGGAATTGCGCGCGAGCTCCGAGTGGCAGAGGCCCGGGTTCAGGTAGTTGATGATCACGCCGCCTTTTCCCCGGGCACTGCCGGGCTGGGACTGGACGGGAGAGCGCGCGGCGAGTTCGCGCGTGAAGAGGACCTCGAGCAGCTTGGACACGTTGTACCGATCGCCCATGTTGGCGGTGGCTTTGTCGTTGAGCGTGGCGAGGATCTTGCCGTCCGGGGCCGACTGCTCCGGCAGCTTGGTGAAGTAGTGCACTCCCGAGCTGACGATGACGAGATGGGGCAGCCGCGGCGTGTTGTTGTACCGCTGGCCCGTCTCGCGGAGCTTGGGGAGGAGCAGGAGGCCGAAGCAGGAAGGTCGAGATGACGTTGACGGTGATGGTGCTCTCGTTGTCCTCGGCGAGCCGGTAGGGCACCCCGGCGATGCCGGCGTTCTCGAGGAGGACGTCGAGGCGCGGTAGTTGCATCGCGCGCTGCGCGAACGCTTTGACCGACGCGTAGCTCGAGAGGTCGAGGGGCCAGACTTCGACCACGTCGCCTCGCCGCCCGGTGCTCTCTTCGATCGCTCGCTTGGCCGCGTTTCCTTTGTCCAGGCTGCGCACGGCCAGGATCACCTTGGCCGCGTTGAGGCGCGTGCAGTGCTTGGCTGCTTCGAAGCCGAGTCCCACATTCGACCCAGTCACGATGACCACTTGGTCCGTGAAGGGCGTTTCGGGGTAGGGGAGGCGGGTGAAGAGTTGTCCCTTGAGGAAATCCCACAAGGCGGATTGGACCATTTTGCTGTTGGTTGTGATGCGGTCTTGCAGGAAGTAGAGTGGTTGTTGTTTGAGATGCGACTCTCTATTGGTAAAGCAGAGGTTGTTGTTTGGGATGCGACTCTGTATTGGTTAAAGCAGAGGTTCTTGTTGTGAAGTTACTGAGAAAGCTGAGAACTGGTGTGCGAGCTGAAGTATGAGGATGACGAGTCGCAAAGACGAGTGTTTATATAAGGCGAAGTCACAACTCCAAAACGTTTAATGAAAGCGACCTCGGGGACTGAGTTAGCCTCCATTCTTCTTATTTACGCAGCTACCGGCATTAAGTCACATCCCTGATTTACTGGTCTCGTATTTACCGTTTGGGTAGCATAACATGGATATCAGTCGGACGAAAGCTGAAACCAGCGGCCGGGCTTTAGACGGAGGAAGCAGGATTTTCCGCCGCCTCTTAAATCCGGGTGCGGGATTAGGCCGTGAGGGCTGATAGTGCCGCCTGGCTAGTCACAAATACGACATTCAAACTCTCTTGACAGGGTGCTCATGTCACCTTGATTGTCTCAAAGGGGACAGCACTGCGAGTGCGCATGGCTAGGAACATGGTTGCGACGGAAATCAGGTTTCTGGTTCTGTGGGCAAAGACGAGGGTAGCAGGATAGCAGGACAGCAGGATAGCAGCATTTCTTGGGCAATCAATCTGTTGAACTTTGAAAATACAGTTCAGGCTATTTTGCTACGCATTTCACCAGCGTTTTGTTACAGAGTTGTTACGCGTTTCGCCGAAGCTTCGCAGGTACTTTTGGTATCTCCGTTTCGCGCTGTTTCGCCTGGTTACGCAGCGTCTGTAGGTATTAATGTTGCCTCAGAAGCTCAGACCTCACGTGATCGTAAGTCGCTTGAGGGCTTTCTCTTGGGGAGAGGTCTGAGCCAATTCCATGTACTACGTAGTAAGTTTACGCGTTGGCACTTCGCGATACTGTATACGCACCTACTACGTAATTATATTGTATTGCCTCTTACCCTTTATATTAATGGATCTTAAAATCGGGCGAAATCGACGGATGATAATAGATCAACACCTTCTCGGTCGCAACCTTCTTTTTTTGATACTCAAGATTCCGCATGTTTTTCGTAACTTAATAACGACTAATTCTGCAGCAAGGAAGTTGCACCTTTGTGCGCCGAAATAGCTGTAGATTCTGCGGCGAATTCTGAGTCGAAATACTTGTGGATTCTGCCGTGCGTTCGGCGTCGAGATAGCTGTGGGTTCTGCGGCGAATTCTGAGTCGAAATAGCTATGGATTCTGCGGTGCATTCTGAGTCGAGATAGCTGCGAATTCCGCGCCGAAATAGCTGCGGCAGGATTCTGTGCAGGATTCTGTGCGAAGTAGCGGCAAGTGCTGTGGATTTTTACATAAATTACAATTTACTAGATATTACACGTAACGACTTGCTTTACACTCTCAATTCATTCAACCTGGTCATCGCAATCCTACGTTTCTTGTTTATGAGCAAGACCACAAGCATTGTCTGCAGGTGCAATGTGTATTGGACTGCTTATCTTTTCTGTCATACAATCCTAAAGGAAGAAAAGCAATGAGCACAATTGCCAGCCCAATCACTCGCTGCTTCGTATCCACCTCCACCACCACCACCACCTCGCAGACTCGTGGAAGGTAAACCATCATCTTCTGCTTCACCACGCACTATGCTTTCACCTCTCCAAACTGTTTTTGTTCTGTTGGTGTCATTCTATTGACGAAAAATAGTGCATGCTGCTGGAGCCACGAGGACTGTTCAAGCAAAGCATAAGATGAGAAAACGCCGAAGAGACTAGACGGTATCGCTATCGCCAGCGCACAATACCGCACACTTTTGGCCGCTGATGTGGGTGGTGCGACCTCTAATAGAAGGGACGTAGCGCCAATGAGGTAGAAAGCAAACGCTAGAACGCCATGCAAATGCTCGTGAATCGTAGTCGAAGGAGAGTAAAGTGTGCTGGGACATATCCTCGTCGAGTTTACCAGGCGGGACAGGGGTTCCGTGTGCACAGGTCGAGGCAGCAGAACCATCGACAAGAAGTAATGGGGCTCAAAGATGGTATTACAGGCGTAGGCCGGAGAGGCATTGAATTTGTGGCGATCAGACCTTGCGGAAGTCTATATTATACGTCAGCGTGCAGGAGATGAACAGGAGTGTGAGTTTTCTTACCTGTGAGAGTAGGATAAATCTGCTCGAAGGCTTGGTAGATCTCCTCTCTGACTTTGGCGCCAGTAAGAACAATCTTGCCACTAACGAAGATGAGAAGAACAATCTTCGGTTTGATCATGCGGTAGATGAGACCAGGGAACAATTCAGGCTCATAAGAGCTGAAGTGATGATGTCTGCTTGCAAGACCCTCAAGACGAATAGGAAACTTGATGTCGCAAGAGCCAACAATGTTCTGAATTTTGAAATCGGTGAACTTGGCATTGAAGCCGAGCTTCTGAATGATTCGAGCATATTTGCGGGAAGCAAGCTTGGAGTCATCTTCAGACTTAGCACCAGTGACAACCATCTTGCCTGAGGCGAAGATGAGAGCAGTGGTCTTGGGATCTCGGATACGCATGATGACCGCAGCGAAACGCTATCAGAAGTCAGCGATGAAAATACAACACAACTTACGTCGTCTCTACCTTTGGATTGTACTCTGCGTTACGGGCGTGGAGCGCGATTGTCTTCAGATCGAGCCGACAGTCAAGATTGACAGTTGCGACGATGTTTCTTCAGAACTTGCATTAACACTCTGCAGCCAGACAAGGCAACAGAGAGTGTACTCACTGTAGCGTAGGCACAATGCCACTGACACCCTGAACAGCACCTGGAGTAGCAGCCGGGGTTGCGGGGGTCACACCATTAGCCGCGGCGCTGGTGCTTCCTCCTGGTTGCTGTCCATTCATATGCGCATTCGCGCCAGATCCACCACCAAGGTGTAGTCCATCTTTTTCAGAGGAAGGTGGAGTCAGATCCCCAGCACCACCAGGAAATGACAGCGACGAAGGTGCAGTGAAGGCGCGAGCTTGTTCAGCGTTGGCCGGATGAGTGGCAAGTGAGGCCATCGCAGGATTCGACTGAGCCGCCATTCTGGCGATAAGGCTGATCGAGCGATGTCTGAGTCACGCGAGACTGTCAAGTAGGACAGTCGAAGCAAGGCAGTCTATGGATGGAAGAGTTTGTCAGGGTTTGAATTTTTTTCTAATGATTTTTTTGTAGGTACGAGTGTGTTTTGAAGATCGAGAAAATAGGTTGTAGAAGGCTAGGTCGCAGTCGGAAGAACACTTGGCAGAGAAGTGTTCGATCGATAAGCGGCAGCGCTTCGTGTTTCTCGATGGTTTGGACTTGCGGTGTTCTCGTACCGATGGGTGGGAGATGAACAACTCAATGTCTCCCCTACACAGCGCTGCCTGATCCAACCTCTCCTAGGTCGCCTGTGACCTCTCTTCCCTTCTTCCACCAAATTCGAAGATTATTAGAGAATGTATAGGTCGAAGCACTGCCAGAGAGCCTTGTGTAAGGTTTGGCGCTGCGACCGAAGATTGCAAGTAGTTGACCCCGAAATGAACCCAAAGGAAGCGCGACCGAGCTAAATTTGCAAGTTGATCCTTTGTAGAGAATGACAAGCGCAAAGCCGACGAATTACACTTGAGAATGGCACGTTAATTTGCGCGATGCCGATGGAGCAGATGAAGGAAGTGTCGCTTCAACCTGCGGATGACAATGGTGGTGGGTGGGATTTTGGTGGGTGTGAGAAACGCCTGCCAAGAAATGAAAACCTCTTGAGACGTGGGTGATGGGCAGCCATTTATACCTGTGACTCACAGCCTCCTGAGTCTGCCGCTGGGCCGTAGTCCGCCGCCCAGCCAGCGCCACTCTAGGCCGAGAACAGCTTACATTTCATGCTTTCGACCCTCTGCTGCAGGGGCCAAATGCGCTACGCCCCAAAACCCAACCAATCACTGTTTAGACGCGCAAGCTCTGCAGAAATTCTAACCCGCCCCACGCTCGCCGCTTTAGCCAGCCGATTTTGAGGAAAACTAACCAGCATCGGCTGTTTTCGTCAAACTCACCACTGTTACATACTTGCAGACACTACAGACACGGCTGTGTATGAGGATCAAGTCATGCCGTAGGTGTACGGTAGGTATGCGGAGGCAAGTAAAGGGCTCTTCATCAAAACTTGACCACGGCAGCCTCGTCACGGCAGAAGGCTTCAGCCTGATTGAGTAGCATTGTGGTGCCGATCGACGTGATTTCGCTAACTGTTATCTGGCATCCTGGTTTGCGCTCTGGCACCCCAAATCACTAATTGGGTTATATCGGGTACTGTTCAAGAAGCGTGGTGGCCGCCATATCTATTGCATCGAGCCATGGGATCTCCAGTCGAGTATCTTACGGCCCAGGTCAGACACGCTTCAAGTCTATCCGTTGCAGCAGATTGTTATTATTTCTTCGTCATCCTTTACATTCCTTTTCTTTTCGATCCATCGATTTGTGTGCCTTATCTCTCTATTGTTACATTTCTTTTGGCTTTTGATGTCACCCCTATCAAATAGTCACAATTTCGGTAGACAGCACCTTGTTGAGATTGGCCGGATTAGCTTCGGTGAAACTTTTCAACTCCTGACTTCAATATTCGGGCGCTTCTATCTCACTGAAGCTCATCATGGCGCTATCTTTGAACTCCCTGATGAAATACTTATTCGAGTTTCCAGCTACGTCATTCTGGCTGACATTGTCAATTACCGTTGTGCTCTGGGAAGGCTGCATCGATGCTCTCCTTACACGTCTTGCGGAGGCATCGGCCAATGTCCGAGGTCCTTCACACTATCGATGAGAAAAACCAATATGCGTCAGATCATTATTGTAGTCTTTGGCCCTTGACAGAATTGTCGCGCCTTTGGTTGTGAAGTCGACGGAACTCTCAATTGTGGTCAACTCATTTGACAGCTCCTACGTTCATCATTTATAGATTTTTGAAGCTTGCAAGACCTTTGCAAATTGGCTGCGCGGACGTGGTGAAAACTACTGCTTCGAAGATGAAGTGCTCCAACCTCACAGTGGTATATATCAGGGTAAACTCCGTCTGTCACAATCTGATACATGTTGTTGGATGGAGGATCTTCGGCTTATCGTGGACAAGATGTTAAACCCGACGTTAATGGCCTTGCTACTAGAATTGAAGATCTTGACTTTTTTTCAAGACGGTCATCCAAAGTAAGAGGTGCTTGGTTGTCAAAGTACGTGAGCTGTGCGTGGTGGAAATGACTTTTGAATTCTCTCATCCGAAATTGGCCTCGAGACAAGCGCGACAGCTAGCACCAAGTACATCGGATCAAGAGACCCTCGAAACTTGGGTCCCGTATGGATCTGATGCACAGAGACGCCAAGCTGGCATTCACTGTTAGTGTGGTGATCGGCGCTGTCTGGCAGCCAGACATGGTTTCTAGCTTCATACTAACCCTGTCGAAGGATCCGTGAAGATGAGACTAGAGAATTATTACCTTCATCCTTTTCTTCTCATATCGCCCATGAAGTACTTTGGAAGCAAGTCAATCATGGCGCTTTGTGCCAGCATCATGATTACATTCCAGAATTGACCAGAAACACAAAATAATTGCAGCAGTCCTAATTCAATACTTCAGGTTACTCGATGGTTTCATTTTATCAGGCCCAATCGAATTCTACAGGAAGACATCTCCGGCCAGCATGGGAAAGTGGAGCCTGTTTACGTAGTAGCCTACAAACACTTTTACTCTATCCTCCTTAGTGAATTCTGCTAGCAATTTTACTGAGAGCCACCCTTTTTCGTAGCCGGTCATTCTCACAATGTCTTCAGACCTGGTTGCCTTCGGCCGAGGGAGTTTCGCGGGAGATGGCAGGTCAGGAATAGCGAGCCTTTTACTTAGGACATGGAAAGTCGGAGTATCCGAATGATACTGCCCGCTACTTCGCAAAGGCCCTGTGTATCTTGAGTATCTATCATTGACGTCTTAAGAACAGGGTCCTGAAGAGATTAAGAGCGAGACGAGCATTGAATGGGTACATGCACGTTGTGTTTGATTTCTTTGCTGAAGCTGCGGTATATTCTGCTAGCTGATACCTTCGGTCATGCATTGTTTCGATAAATCCTCCTTTTGTATAACCGGTTATGGCATCCAAGCCAATCTTTCGCTACGGTGTTTTGGATTCCGTTTTCTTCATCACGCTCAGAGGAGGCTTGGCCCTGCCAGCTAACTTGGGAGTTTTGAGGGTATGAGTTTAAGTAACGATGATATTGTTTCTGACCACTACTGGCATTCTCCATGAGGGATGGCTGCATAGCACGTGTGTGGGTGCTTGGCCTAAGATGAGGTCTCAAGGTCGTGCTATACCAGCCCCAATGCAAAAGCCACTGGTATTGCTGGGCCGTTCTGGGGTATTAAAGGGAGCTTGGTAAACGGATGACCAGGAAATGGTCTCACCCATAGGCCATCTAATCCCAAAATCAATTTCCAGCCATTCTTCGTGCATTTGCCTCTTTCTCTTGTGTCTTGTCTTCTTGCCTTCCTATGTTTCTCCACCCACAGCAAGTATTACGGTCACTCCCTCTGCAGCACAACCATCACTCCCATAATTCCCATCATGACGGTCTTCAGCCACGGATGCTCGCTCAACATGATGGTCACATATCCCACAGCCGGCACATATCCCCTCACACTACCAATGATATCCTCTTCCCTATCCAGATAGCTCTGCCCACGGGCATAGAGCTCCGTATCGTCCGCGATGTTGTTGTCGCCTTTTGTAAGAAGTTGAGCCTTGGGCGCCGTATCGGCAGCCCCTACTTTCTCTGATTTGCTTTTGCCCTGTACCAAAGGATTCCCAGAAACCGTATGAAAACTCCTCACAACCCTATGCACGATGGGTATGTCCTTGCCCTTAACTTTGTAGACCACGATCTCACCAACCTCGGCCGTGTGGTCCCGATTCCAAAGGAAGAGGAGATCTCCCCGCTGAAAAGCGGGTTCCATGCTGCCGGATAGCACGACGACGATAGGCGAGGAAGAATTGGAGAGGACGGAGAGGGTCTTCCAGAGCATGAAGGCGGTGCTGAGGACGAGGGCAAAATTCAGGACTTGGACAGCGGTTTGTCGGGGTTGGTGGAGGAGGGATGGGGGAAGGAAGGAGAGCATCGTGATGAATCGTGGATGGGCGAGCTACTGCTGGGTGGTGGTAGAGGCAGGAGGTGCTAAGTCGAGGTTGATGGATTCTAGGTCTGAGAAGACCAGACGCCTCGACTTATTGAGGACGAGGGCAATTAGGATGAACGGTTTCAGAGTGTCGTAAGTGTATCCACATGTGCCATTGAGGTCAATACATGGCTCGCGGATGCTCTGGCGCAGAGTACGTGTCGAAGAGCGTAGTTTCAGAGCGGATGAATAACTTTCCAACGTGGTCAGACTCGCAAGCTATGTGGCGAGGTCATCTAGCTTCCGATAATGCACCTAGCTTATCCCAACAGGGTGATATTTGGACGCGTGTGGTGTGAGTGCTTTTTCTCCTAATGCTTGAGATCTGGCAGCACTGACTGTAGGGCTTAGCGTGGAGCAGTCAATGTGGTTAGTGCTTTGGTTGTCTTTTGCCATCGTCCAAAGTTAAAAGATCATTATTCTCGTGATCATTTACAGATATATCTCGACGAGATTTAAGGTAAGCTTCTAATGCGCCGAGTGCATAATTGCAGCATTTCAACAAGCAGGAGCAGGAAATGATTATAGGGGGAAATGTGTCGATGATTTCCCCTACTCTCGTCTTGCGAACGACAATACGAGCAAACGTCTGTTCGGTCTTGTGGTCCACTCTAAGAAGTGCGATCCGTAACTGTTAATGGTCTATCCTGACTACAGGCTCCGTGTGATTGGTAAGAAGTGGTAGAAAGATGTCTGTCCAATTGTCTCCCGTGGAAGGATCTTGCTAGATTTCGTGGCTAATTGTAGCTCCAGTTTCAGCCTATAACAAAGGTATGTTCTCTTCTCCCAAGTGGCTATCTAGCACATTTTCCAATTTTCTTGCTCCGCCTGTCATGCCACGAACCAATACTACTGACTAAGCGATCTATCATCATTGGGTGTCCCAATGCCGCTGTCGAGCTCATCTTCCCAACAGCAGAAACGGATCATAGATCCAAGAGAGTCATACCAGAGAGAAACAATGGAGGATCGAGCTTCGCTGGCATGAACACTCGCAAAGGCCGGACTCGTACCACCGTTGGACATGTGACAAGTGAATACGGTCCGAAGGATGGTGATGTAAAGATCCCCAAGTTCGGGGTCGATGAGTTTATGAGAGCAGATATTGACAAGGAAGGTGATGGCAAGGACGCCGGCGATATTGAAGTATTGGAGATGACAGGTCCTGGTACACTACTCCTCTCACTCAGGTTGCTTGCTGCTGACTGGTTTCAGCAGATGGTTTGAAGGAGTCTTTTCCGTAAACTAACCACTGTGATAACGGAAAACCCAGACACTGCTGGACAGCATCGTCTGCCAATGCTGCAACTTCTGACCATGGTGGCCCACCTGGAAAAGTACGCAGTCATTGTGCCTGGTCCTGCTGGATACTATGCAACCCATATGTTATATGGTATAGCGAGTATAGAGGATGGTTGGCTGGGTACAAGCCCGGATATGAGGAATACACTCCATCTCAACTCCCCAGGGTGGCCGCGGCTGGAGCTGGAAAATCAAAACTTGATCAACGCCTGCACCTAGTGATACTGACATGCGAAGAACTTTTATAGCTGTTGCAAGAGTTCTAGGGGGTTGCTTTGCCAATCTGTGCCCCAACTTCTTTTCCTAAGACTAAGACTCCAGCATGCACGGAGGCCGAGATGACTCTGTGACTGACATTGAAGCAATATCGCAAAACAGCATTGACAAATTGCAAACCTTGGTTGATGTGGTCACCCTAGTCCCTCCATTCAGTCCAGCTAAAGTGAAGCATTTTCAAAAGCACAAGCATATGATTCTAGTTAACGGAGGGCACCGGAGCCAACAATGTTCGACTGAGTGATATTCCGGGTTTATCTAATGTCATATTATGTTGCGCTGGGGACCATCAGATTTAGGCAATTTCGACGAATGAATTTCTGGATATTGTGTTGATAAGTCATGATGGAAGCCACCAGGACCATGAAAATTTCCCGGAGGCCACTTCCGGCTGTCCCTGATCTTGTGTGTATGTTTGTGTGTTCTCTACGTGCCTCAAATTTTTCCTACAACTATCATCTGTACAACAAGCATGGCTCAAGACTTGCCACGGGTTACCGCGCTGAGTTCAAACTTACTTGCAGTTGAAGAACGTCCGATTCATAACGACTTTGACGATGAAGGTCCAGGCTACCTGTCAGTTCATGGTCCGCGGCACGACAACGATCATCTCAATTTTCAGGATGTTCAAATTCTTCCCACAACTGATGAGATCCTTGCCGTTCGTCGCCCTCCCTACATACCTAAGAAAGACATTCGCGAACCAAATCACCTTGAACCTGGGCCTCAGAGGCTTCTTGATACGCTTTTCCGGCATCTCAGATTCGACAGCGTGGAAGGAATCCGTGACATCAGCTATCATGCGGCGCAACAGCTTTTAAAGCAGACTCTAGGAACGACCAACGACTACGAACCACAGCAAGAGACGAAATCCGGCAACCGATATTTTCTATACGTGGATGTCAGGTTTGAAGAGCTTTTGTCCGACGAAAAGAGAGGTGTAATACTGCGTTTGAGCTACCTGTGTCCACATTTCATGCGGGGACGGGGCATGATTCGATCAGGCCGTTTAGAACAAGGAATGCTTTGTGCTCTTGTCTGTCTAGAGGAAGATGGAAGAAGTCTTTCAGTCACATTTTTTGAAGTACACATGACTCAGAGCACGGATTCTATGAAAGCGAGAAATGGAAAAGGCGTCCGAGCCGCCATTCAGCTTGCATTCACAACACCAGCAAAATCAGACAATGTTCGGCGAGTCCTGCGCTACGCTCAAGGTCTATCTTCAGGACAGTATGTGCTGGTTGAATTTCCCAAATTGCTTTACGCTGGCTTCTATCACTGCCTCCATACATTACAGCAAATCCGGAGCACAGATATAGCATTCACGAAATACATTGCCCCCCGAAATGCCTCCTTTGCTGTAGCCAACTCGGTCAATGTCGGTCTGCTGCCAGCAATGAATGTCGTACCCCCAGCCTACTGCACCACTGCTGAATTTCGGTTCAACTTGGGGTGTCTGGCGCAGAACAATGCAAGCTTTTCTCTTGCAGAGCTTCGGGATGCACCCATGGAGTTCATAACCTTTCTCAAGCGGGAAACGACACTGGATGATGGACAAGCAGTGGCACTTCATGACTGTCTGACACGCGAGATTGCTTTCACGCAAGGCCCTCCTGGTACGGGCAAGACCTTTCTTGGCGTTGCCTTGAGCAGAGTCCTCCTCGCGTCTAGGTCAACCACAAAACCGAAGCCACTCCTTGTCGTGTGCTTGACCAATCATGCACTTGACAGCTTCCTCGCCGGGCTTCTCGCAGCCGGTGTAACGAAGATTGTTCGCATTGGTAGGGGTAGCAAGGAGGAATGGATCAGGAAATTTGAGCTTCGTGCGCTCAGCAGAAATACGAGGTTGGCACAAGACGTGTGGGATATGAAGGGCGTGGCCATCCGGAATGCACAGACCTTGTACACACAGCTCGAAGCAGGATGTAAGGGTCTCAACGCCGCATACGCCAGTGGCTCACTTAGTTGGCCTACCGTGGAGGCCTATCTACGATCTACACATCACGAGATCTACGATCAGCTCACCACTTCAAATGACAACCCATATGCACGGTCGTTCGCATTTGATTACTGGGCAGGCGGTGGAGATCTGCGTAATCTACGAGAGTTGCGAACCGAGCTAGAAACCTGCCTTCTAGGTAGTACCGCCAGCGAGGGCTCGTCAATCTCCACAGAAGGCCTCGACAGAGCGCTAGAACAGATCATGCTCCATGCCCAGTACCAGAGTGCACGAGCTGAACAGAATAATATCTGGAGGCTCACTCTCGAAGAGAGGCAGCAGATGCTTCGACGCTGGAAAGCTGCTATAGACAGGGAAGAGCTGATGGCACAATTTGCTACGCTTCACACGGAGCATCAGTCCGCAGAACAGGCTGTTCGAAAGAGTTGGCAGAAAAGAGACTCAAAGTGCCTACTCGAGCAAGATGTGATTGGACTCACTACCACGGCTTGTGCTTCAAACTGGGAAATGCTGAAGGCGCTGAATCTTGAAATCGTTATCTGCGAAGAGGCTGGGGAAGTGATGGAAGCGCATACTCTATGCTCACTATTCCCATCCGTTCAGCATGCAATCTTTATTGGCGACCCTCAGCAGTTAAGACCCGAGGTCAACGAGCAGAAAATGTCTCTGGAGACCGCCATCGGCTCCCAATATCGTCTTGACGAGTCGCTCTTTGAACGCAGCATGATTCCGACGGATCCATCTTCCAGCCCTATGCCTACGTCGCAACTTAATATTCAGCGACGTATGCATCCGGATATCGCTGACTTGACTCGGCTTGTCTATCCCTATCTACAAGATCATCCTAACACCACTACGCATCCTTCGACGAACGGGATTGCAGAGCGAATGTTTTGGGTCGATCACCGCATGCCTGAAGCTGAACCCAGTGCTGCGTCTAAGTCTTACACCAACCCTTACGAGGTTGCCATGGTCACTGGGATGGTCCAGTATCTACTACGGCTCAATGCATACTCCCTAGGTGAAATTGCTATACTTACGCCTTACAATGGTCAATTGGCTGCCTTGCACGACTCCTTGAAGATGACGTGTTCTGTTTGGCTGAGCGAGAAGGATCGGAAGGGCTTGCTTGATGAGGGATTGCTGCCGGAGTCAGGGGACGACGCACCGCGGTCGAAGGATGAGCTGAGCATGGGTGACCTGCTTCGAATTGCAACAGTGGACAATTTTCAAGGTGAAGAGGCCAAGGTCGTGATTCTAAGCACTGTACGAAGTGGTGAACGACCAGGCTTTCTCAAGACGATGAATAGAATCAATGTGGCATGCAGCAGGGCAAGAGACGGATTTTACATTATCGGGAACTCTGCCACCCTCGGACAAGTACCAATGTGGCAGCAAATCATCGACATCTTTGCTGCTCGTGGTAGGATTGGCCCTGGCCTTCGTACTTGTTGTTCCCGCCACCCAAATCACTACAGTGATGTCTATACACCACAAGATTTTGACCAAGTCCAGGATTGTAGCATTCAATGCGGAGAGGTCCGAGCTTGCGGTCATGTCTGTCAAGAACCCTGTCATCCGCCAGATCTTCATGAGAGACTTCCATGCAAGAGTTCTTGTGAGACGATTCATCCATGTGGCCATCAGTGCCAGAAACTCTGTTCGGAACCTTGTGGCCCGTGCAAATATCCGATCAAGCAACAAGTCCTATCTTGTGGTCACGCTGTTGAAATGCTCTGCTCGGGAGGCATTCCGACCTGCATGGAGATAATCAGCACTGTCCCATTACCTTGTGGTCATCAACGTAAGCTTCGATGCTGTGACCAAGGCAAGCCCTATTCATGCCGCAAGAAGTGTGAGCAGAATCTTCTTTGTGGTCATCGCTGTCAGGGTATGTGTGCGGATTGTTGGTCATCAGCCTCTAGCACCCACCAACCATGCTCAAATATATGTGGTGCTAAACTTCCTCTTTGCGGACATTACTGCGATTCGGAATGTCACTCTGGTTCTTCATGTCCTCCCTGCAAACAACCCTGTCAGGAGAGTTGTGCCCATGGGCAGTGCAAAAATCTATGCAGTGAACCTTGTGATCCCTGTGTTAAACCACACAAGCAGCAGTGCACTCATCAAGCACAGTCATCATTATTGTGTTCACTGCCGTCTGAAATCCTCCCATGTTGCGAGCCATGCGATAGAGGTAAGTCGTGCTACTCTGATTCTAACCTCCATCCTAATCTGTCTCTAGTTCTCCCATGTGGCCATGCTTGCCCCAGCCTCTGTGGTGAGACATGTCCCACACAAGTATGTCCTCAATGTGTATCGGGAACAGCATGTACAACAGCCATACTCGCCTGTCCTACCTGCCACCGTGTTCTTGACATTAGGGACTTGGATAGAAGACTAATAAGCCATATCTACACGGTCAACGAGTGCGGCCACATCACTGCCTTTGCTGCAGGATCCCCTAAAGAGGCTATGGACTTCCGTTGTGTTTGTGGAACTCACTTCTCCGGATTTCGGCGATACTCCATTCTGAAGCAAATGAGCCAGGCACCTTCCGTTTTTGCTCGGCTTCTTTTCAAATTGGGCAAGACTCTCAGTACGTTCTCAAGGAGGGTACATTATCATGAGAAGGAGCTCGGAGAATCCTTTCATGCTTTTCGCGAACAAATCCGACCCAATCCTCTTGCTGCTAATCAGAACAAAGCTCTAGTGGCCTCCCGAGCACAACAGCTTCTACGTTTGTCGGATAGTATTGACGACTTCAAACCCACCGCCATTGCCTTTGAACAGTCTATCAGGTGGATGCAGACTACCCTTCCCACAACTTTGCTCAGCATTACAGAACACAACATCTGTCCCGTCTTCTCACTACGCCTGACCATCCTTCAGCGACGAGCAAGAAATGCCTGGACCCTAGACTGTCTACGGGTTTCCAGCTATCTTGTAGGTTTGGAGGACCCCTCACTCGAAGTTCAGCGTATGGGTGAACTACTTCGGATTCGTGCAAGCAAGGAATGTTGGAAGGGTATTGCCGAGTGTAACACCGCTGTGGAAAAGGCAATCACCGCTAAAACACCTGCTATCGAAGTCGAACTCCGCCTACAACAGGTCCAACTCAGCCATCTATTGGACATCGCCCTTGCCCTTGGGCGTGGTAGCGCTCAGCTTGATACGTTGTTGCCCACCATGACACCAGAACCTGCTTCTGAAAGCGTTCAGAAAACGGTACACATCTGCAGACGCTTTCCCGATACGGCTGGGAAGTTCGGTGGGCTGGTCAGCAAATTCGTCAAGTTTGCAAGTGAACAGCGGTATGACAAGGACGACACACTGCAAAGATGCACATCCCAACTGGCATCGTTGCCTCAGTCGTGCACATATGAAACGCGGAAAACGGAGTTGACGTGGGGTGAATGTGTTGGAGGATCTGTTGCCGTGTGTGAGCTTGGAGGACACCCTTACAGCTCGGAGATGTCCGGCTGTCCAGAATGTAGGAGGATCAAGGAGGTAGAGCGGGTCGAGGAAGAGGCCAGAAAGGCGGGAGAATGTTTGTTCGAGGAGCGGTTTTTGCAGGCCATGAAAGGTTTGGCAAAATGATCAGGAAAAGGTAGAACAAAGTGTCCCTCCGAACAGAAATCGACGTAATTTCCTGTGCAAAGTGGTGTACAGGTGTGCCATCCATCTATTCATCTTGTGACGTTCAAACCGTTCTTTTCTCTCCTACCTAGGCCTGGATTCGAAGAAAAATAGAATCAGGCGGATCAAGTAAGTCATGCCATGAGAATCATCAATTTCCTTGATGTATAGATTGCACAAGGGCTGCCCACCAGCTCTCGCCATTTCATAATGTTGAATTTTCTCTCTCTGGCTGGTTTCGAACTTCGAAAAGTTTCATGGAATCAGATAAGAATGCTCTGTGCGGGTGGAAATGATGGGCTTTTCTTCTCTTCCTACGAGCCGTTATCCCTGGGTTTTTATCTTGGAGAAGGAATAGAAGAGGGTCATGATGGTGGGTCTGGAGGTTCATGTCTTTTCTTTTCTTTTCTTTTCTTTTCTTTTCTTGTCCGGCAAAGGATGAGTGAGTGTATACACATAGAGTATACTGTATTTCTAGCGCCTGGTTTTGGGCTGAGTTGGATTTTTGTAATCCCGCGTTTCGAGTTTGAGATCTTTCTCTCCTTCTGGAAATACACGATGAGACAGTAAGAATGGGAGGGTTGCTGTTTGTTTTGCTTATGGCAATGATGGCGGATCTGGGTTTGTACGGCGGAAAGGCCGCTTTGGGATCAGAGTGAGATGAGATGAGATGAGGTAGGCTGGCTTGGTGTGTAAGGTATACCTTGCCTCTCTTTACAGTAATACGTCTTGAAGGGGACAGGTTGCGTTAATCTTTTACTACGTATTCCCTTGGAAAGGAGGTCGATGAGTTGGTTGGTAAGCTAGATCTTTGGAGCGGCTCAGGTATCGGAGAGAGGGGATGATCGGAATGTTATTACGATGTTTTCTTGTGGAGCTGTCTGTAAGGTAGGATGCCATGTCTTTGGAGCCTATCTCTGCTATTTCGTGAAGAAGCGAACTACTCATCATAGTCTGATTTGTGAGGAAGTAACTACTGTACCTATGGATCTGGATTCTGGGGTTGTGGCTGTGAGAACTTGCAGGGCATGGCAAGATGATACACGCTACTGCATGTAGTGAGTGGAATGTGTGCATGTGGAATAAGAATTTGTAAATCTATCCTGTGATCGTGGTTTGATAAGGGAGGGTTCTTAAGCCGCTGAGGCTTCTCTACTACTATATGATTTGTGGAAATTGTCTGCATGATCGTAATGGAGTATCTACAAGTTTGCCTCTGCTGTATACTTGGCTTTAGATATGGGAGATGGTAAGTATGAAATTGAGTGCATCAATAAATAGACAGGTACAACTGTCAATACTCTCGTTCTTGAAATAGAAAATGAGGGAGAAGATATGTCTGCATTAATGACCAACGTACAAGGTGGATTGGGACTTGCAGAGGAATGGGAAGGGTAAAGGGTGAGGAAATCAGGCATGTATGCTGCCTCACCGGCTTCTGGCTGCTGGTAGAGGTTGCTGTGGCATGTGCTTCTATCGCTGGAATTCGTGCTTCTTGTTTGTATAATTGACGAAGTGGGAGCATGAATATACCAGCTGGCAGGAAGGATGGTATCATGGTTTGGGCTTTGATATCTGGATGACAGTGGTCATACTTCGTGGATCTCTGAATAGCAGTGCATAGAGCAGTGTTAATTTCTCCTTTGTCGATGAAGAAAGACGTTCTGCTTCCACGGGTGCCAGGGCGTGTGGAAATTGAATAGAGGAGATGCTGTGTCGTACACTTTCTGATGTGATGCCTGGCTGTCCAATGGGTAACGAAACACGTAGTAACCGTCAATATTTGGACATGGACGCAGGAAATTGTCAACACACGAATGAGGATCTTTTTAAACTCTGAGGAACCTGCATGTATCCTGATCGCATCGACCAGCAGCTCACAGCTCATTAGCTAAGCTAAGCTCTGCCCGGGCTTCACTCGTCGTCTTCAACCTCTTCCAGGTCTGCCTCCTTAGGCACTTTACCACCGACATTCTTCTTTGCCGCTGCTGCAGGACCGCCAGATTTGGCTGTGTCTTCGGCAGCCTCGTCGGCATCATCTTCGTCTGCATCTGCGTCCTCGTCATCTTCCTCTTCATCATCCTCTGCTTCTCCGACGCCATCTTCTGCTTCATCTTCCTCATCATCTTCTTTACTAGCCTTCTTAGTATCGACTTTGGCGCTGGAGGTTGGACCTGTCTTTCGCTTTTTGGCGGCAGGGGCTTTGCCATCCCTTTGTCAGCTGTGCAGGAGGCGCTTCGACATTTGGGATGCAATACCTTCAGCTTCCTTTTCGTCTTCCTCGTCCTCGTCACCAGCGGCTACTTCTTCTTCGGCATCCTCATCTTCCTCTTCGCCGTCGTCAGATGCGGGCTCCGAGTCTTCATATCTGTTCAAGAACGACTCAATTTAGTGAGATGTCTCTCAGAGGTAGGTAAGAAACCTCTGATTGGGATCGCGGACTCGACAGAGAGACAATTGGCAGAAAGGATGGGTGATGAGATGAGGAGTGATGCGCGCGTGCATGACGTCAACGGCGGATCAATGGAACTCACTCGTCCTCTTCTGCGCTCTCATCTGAAGGAAGAGCCTGCAGCTGCTCTTCCTCCTCCTCAGCATCTTGCTTTCGCTTGCGTGGGCCGACCATCTTTGCTATGAGAAGGTTGGGCAATGATAAAGGGATGTGGAAGGGGTGGAAGGGGCGGGAAGGGGGAAGATCGGTGGACGAGGTTCACAGGTGAAGTTGGGAGCTGAACTTGGTTGGACTAGCGAGAGGCTGACGCCAGGGGGGGAGCTCACTTCGGACTGCACTTCACACCTCACACTTCGCTCACCTCACCCAACCCACTCAAGCGGAAGTGATCCGTGCAGACGGAGCTGTGGGGGCGAAAGGTTAAGCGACCGCCCGATTGGGACCGGAGCACCTCCCAACCCCATTTTCAGGGGCAGTTCGCCAGTTCACCAGTCCATCAGTCCATCAGTCCATCAGTTCATCAATTGATCTTTCAAGGGTTCATGCATCTGCATCTGATCCACCTCTGATCCACCTCGTCTTTCTCAAACGAAAGCTACTGCACGTTGAACAATCAGATGCATAAGCGCGCACAGGGAGCCATCTACCATGTCAGTCATCCAGTAATTCGTCCTCATGCGCTCATCATCTGCCCTCGCATTCAACTGCCCCAGCAGTACGGAGCACGCTCATACCAATCGAGCGAGTGTACCAAGAATCAGAGGATGTGAATTGACCTGCTTACCAGATGCCTGATTGTGCTAACTAATGTTGTCTCCGCACTCTGCTACATACTACGTACGTCCCCTCCCCAGCGAACAAGCTTGATGACTAGGTTTAGCTACGTTAGTATGTTTCGAGTCGAATAATCAAAACCAACGAAATACGTCCTTGGTGCAAAGATTCTCAGCCGCTTGCTCGTCAGGTCCTCCAGCTCCTCTCGAACTCGGGCACTTGCCAATAATGTCTGGTCTACAAGTCTTGATCAGTGGAGCGAGCGTCGCAGGCCCAGCTCTAGCCTTCTTCCTCGCTCGTGCGGGTGCAAAAGTCACAATTGTGGAGAAAGCCCCCTCACTACGAACAGGTGGCCAGAATGTCGATATTCGGGGCGTCGGTCTCAAAGTTGTGCGTCGTATGGGACTCGAGGCTGCGGTCCTCAACAGGGCAACGCAGGAAGAGGGTGTCGCTTTTGTTGACGCCTCGAATCGCAGACGGGCAGAGTTCCCTGTTGACCCTACCGGTCAAAATCTGAGCATGACTGCTGAGATAGAGATCATGCGTGGAGATCTCGCCAAGCTCTTTTACGACGCGACGTGTGATGATGTGAAATATGTTTTCGGAAATAGTATTGAAAGTATGGTCGAGACAGATGAGAAAGTCAATGTCTTGTTCAAGCATGGTTTGAAGCAGCAATTCGATCTCGTCTTTGCTGCTGATGGTCTTGGCTCACCAACCCGAGCACTCATCTTTGGCCATGACAAGCAGAAATCGCCCATCAAGTCACTTGGTCAATACGTCGCCTGGTTCACGATACCGCGTCAGGAAAGTGATGGGAGGTGGGCTCGCTGGTATAATGCGCCAGGCCGGCGCCTAATCCTTCTCCGACCAGATACTAAGGCAGAAGCCTCCCAGCAGATAACTCGTGCATCTCTCTGGATCTGCAGCGATTCTGCAAGATTGCAGGGCTACTCCAAGTTGAGTATCGCAGAGCAGAAAGCTGTGATGCACGATCTCTTTGTTGATGCAGGTTGGGAGGCCTCTCGAGTCCTCGCTGGAATGGACTCTGCGGATGACTTCTACATGCAGGAGGTAGCACAGGTTAAAATGGACGAGTGCTGGTCGCGTGGCAGAATGGCCGTCCTCGGCGATGCTGCCTATTGTCCATCGCCAATAAGTGGCATGGGCACCACCGTCGCTGTGGTCGGCGCCTACCTACTAGCTGGGGAAATTGCACGCAGTCCAAATGATCCTCTGGCAGCCTTCGCCTCATACGAACGACTCATGCGGCCATTCGTGACCAAGGCCCAGAAGTTGATACCTGGTGCACCCCAGCTGGCCAATCCGGAAACAGCATGGGGTATCTGGCTTATGTATTCGATTTTGGGCATAGTATCCTGGACCACCAGATTGCAGGCGTTCTTGGGGAGGTTTGCAGGTCCACCAGTCGATGCGATCGTGCTTCCCGATTACGAGGCAGAGTTGTCAGGTAATCGATGAGGGAGCAGAAGAGATACCGCAAGAAAGTCTACTTCAGCTTCAAGATATCCATGTCGTGGGGTCCACCGCGCAGGAAACAACAACAGGAAACGAGTTTAAACTTTGCTCATGTTGCCTAATCTGTGGCTCTGACTTTTAGCTGCTTTCAGAAGCCGCTGACCCAGATATCTTGCAGTTGGGGGGAAACCGGAAATGGATTGGCGACTTTGAGTTGGGGCTTAAAGCTTGAAGGTAGTAATGGCTGGGCGCCACCCTGGAGAGCTATGAGCAACATCTATCATTCAATACCACACTGTCATAATCTCTTCTCTTTTTGCTATTAGTCATTGAATAGATCTTGAATGCGGTGTCCTACTCAGGAGCTCATTATCAATACTACTGAATGTCTGCATTGGACCGTTTCCATGCTAGGCACAAGCTACTCACCTACTGTTTCTCCGCCTCCTTCAACTGATCTCCATCATACATCCAGAGCCGCTCAGGGAAGCTTGAAATTGGTTTTGTTGTTGGACATTCCTATGTGAAGACCATGGGCTCAGCGGATCAAAAGATTAGTATTGATATACACCATTAGACATAAAGTATCTTTTGGGGTCGAGTCCCTACTCCCGGCCACTCGAACTATATCTGTACAGCTAACTGCGCTTGACAAGGTGAGTTTATTGGTCATTTGGAAATTGACACAGCAGCAGCAGTCTTCCACATGAGATCTTCGTACATTGGGGTTATTTCTTACCGAGGCGTAATGAGTGAGCAACATTTTCTCCTGGTCAAGCACGTCCAGGCTCCAAAATGGGACGGACATACCTCAGTCACGCTCTTAGTCAAGATTCCTGAGACCATGAAGCTGAGCCATGGTGTTATGCGCGCCAAGCATGCCAAGCGTGTGCCCTGCGCACATTATGAGGGCCAGGAGGGGTCTGATAGATTCTACCTTGTTCTACGCATCAAAAGGACCTCAGAGGGCTATTCTACTACTTATATCCTTCTTCTTGTACATAGAATCTAGTTCTTCGCCGCTCAATAAGTCAATTCATTGACCCTTTACTGTTCTATCGCCCCTGCACTCCCCTGGGATCCTAACACACATAGCTCGTTGGATCTGATGAGAACCACGTCACAACCGTCTTTTTGAGGCGCTGGGTGCGAAATTCCGCATGACAGTCCACACACCTTCCCCATTCCACACAACAGCACATGTGGAATTTGATGGTCAGATTTGATAAGACAGCTTTGGCCTCGGCTAGATTGATGACATTTGAGCCAACGGTCATGCCGGTCCCGTTGGAACTAACTAGTTGGGATTAGCATTCCCCAGCGAGCGGCAGAGACGGTCTTAAGGGAGGAAAGTTTTATCACAATCCTGCATGAAGAGTCCGCGAAAGAGAGCTTGAGAGATTCCAGGTTGTGACATAGAAGCCTCGATATGGAGTGATGATTGTGCGTAGTTTGGAGAAAAGAGAACTACTCCCGCCTGAAATTCTTGGGCCCCTTTGACAGTCCAATACAAACTTGCCCCGAGCTTGATACGAGCTTAAGGGTAATTTTCTACTTCCTTGGCACAGATCTGGGTCGTGATGTTGCGCATTTTGGGGCTGTAGTGTATTCCATTTCGTGATCTCCTTAGAATGTCTCACTTCATTCTAACAATCCATAGTACTTGGTGTGTTGGTGACCTTGATTTCCGGAGATAACCGCCAACGCTGTACTATGGTATGAGGCAGAAGTAGCCATAGCTCGGCACTAGTAGCAGCTAGTTCTGATACAGCGCCACATTGATGTCTAGAAGCTTCTTAGAAGATGACCCATAGTTATTGGTCATCGCAAAACCCCTTAGCTATTTGGGGCTTAGCTATCTCGTTTGCAAGCCGTTTCCGGGTAAAGATACTAGCGCCGAACTATGGCTACTTCTGCCTCCTACCGTAGTAACTTTTAATGTGCTAAAAGCGTAGAGGTGCATATTTAGCTCCGACCTAAAACGACAACTAAGTCTTCGTGGATAGTCTGACCGCATTCACTAATTAACAATTGAATGTTCGTTTACAGATTATAAATTAAGTTCTAAATCTAAATAACTACTTAGTTAATCTCTTTAGATGGAAGATGGTGTTGAAGATGATTTATCATGCAATCGTATTGAGGCAAGGATCTATGAAGTCATGACCGAGATCGAGAGTGCTTTTCCTGAGCCACCTGCATAGTCCCACCGCCTTTATGAGGGTTTCGACTCCTTGCCAACACATCAATCTCGGAATGAAAGTCGGGCAGAGAGACAGGGGTCGACTATTTCTTGCTGCAGCACGCGTTAAGGGTAACCGAAAACTGAATAGTAGTAACGAGAGATGATGTAATGTAGAGAATTATCTGAGAACCCTAGGCTCACCGACGAAAAGAGAAAAAATTCACTAATGCAGCAGCAAGATCGGAAGGTGGAAGCAAACGCGTGACGGGAACATTATGTTGTACAGAGTTGTGCGCAAGAAGCTGTTAAACTATGCTAACGATAGGGCTAGGCTAGGAACTACTACGTATAGTACCAACCAAGCAATTACTAGTAATTAGTCAGTATGATTCGGATCTCAGATCTAAGAAACCCTAAATCAAGTCTAGGCACGTCAGTTGCCGCCGGCGTGCATAAAGTCCATCAAATTAAGACGTAATTTTCCCTATTAGACTTAGTAAAACTTCGCGGTCATTCCAAACTGGATAAGCCTCCGATGGTTCCTGCCGTCATCTAGCCTGTCTAGGCAAAGTCAAGTATTTAGCGCCGTTTGACAACTTTTAGTGCACGACTCTGCATGGCACATTTGATAACATACCCTAGCCCTCATAACCCACCATCATCACCTGGAAAACTGAATCCATTCCAAAGACTCTCGAGGATCTTTTTTTCTCAATACTGTCGTAGTCGTCAATATAATGGCCAGTACGGACCCCACAGCGGACCTTGCGAACCAACTTGAACCCGACGTAGGTTGAACAGCCAATCTGGACGCAGACGATAACTTACAGAACCAGGATGAGCAAAGCAGCGAACAAGATAGCGCATATGGAGACGATGAGTACGTGTTGAATGGTGGTATCGGATCGTGGCCAAAAAGTGGCTGATCATCGAGTAGTCTCATAAGCGAGAGAACCTCCCTTTTCAGCGATATCATGAAATACAGGTAAAGTATCTGATGCCGTAGTTATAACGTATAGCTCTTCACTGATAATCATCTAGGGAAGAGGTACATGATACCTTTGTGTCTGCGTTTTCACCCGACACTGACACTTGGTTGCTGGGTCAGAATGGACGTCGCTATCATGGGTACAAAGACGGCGCCTATCTGCTGGTAAATACATCCTGCACTTTCTCTCAAAAGACACAGGCTGACAACCCTGACAGCCAAATGATGAGGTGGAACAGGATCGACTTGATCTGGCAAGCTCAATATCCCTGGACTATCCATTTATTTTATCTCTGACATTCAGGCCCTTCAGCATCATCACATCTTCAACTTGGCGAACGGGGGCAAGCTTTACCTGGCCCCTATCGAGAGGCCGGCTCGTGTACTCGACGTTGGAACAGGAACCGGCATCTGGGCCATGGATTTCGGCGAGTATGCAGCAGGATACAGTTTTCTTCACCTTCAAGCCATCCGTCGGAAGCTAACGCGGTCCAAAGTGCACACGAAGAGTCGCACGTTATAGGAATAGATCTTTCTCCTATTCAGCCGGCTTGGTGGGGCTCCCCTATCGTATCAGATGAACAATTCCGTCTTTTGTTGATACTCTCTAGGGTTGCACCGAATGTTGAATTCCTCGTCGACGACGCCGAGGATCTGTGGCTAGGCAACACCTACGACTACATCCACATCCGCATGCTCAGCGGCGCCATCAAGGACTGGCCGGGCCTCCTGGCCAAAGCGTTCGATCACATGAATCCTGGCGGATGGATCGAGCTCACCGAGTTCGAAGTTTGGCTCCACTCACACAACAACAGTCTCCACCGTGCACCAGACATCCAGACGTGGCAAGAAGGTCTACGCGAAGCAGCGGCTCTCATAGGCCGTCGGTTTGACGTCGCCGTCAACCTAGAAAATTGGGTTCGCCAGGCAAACTTTACCAATGTCACTCAGCACAAAATCATAGTACCCGCCGCACCATGGCCGAAGAATAAGGAGTTGAAGACCCTTGGCGCTTATCAGCTTTTGAACATGCTCGATGCTGCCTCGTCTTATGGCCAGGCTCATTTTACTCGGGTGCTGGGATGGTCGGCCGATGAATATGCAGTGTTGAGCGCGAAAGTCAGGAGCCAGTTGAAAGATCGGACACTGCAGCTTTACTCGGATCTGTACGTATTCACACCTGCTTTAGACTCACGAGGTGAGCAAGGAGCGATACTAATACTCGTACTGACACTGGAGACCGATTAGCTACACCGTCTATGCCCGCAAACCCATGACGGCGCCTTGATCATGAGACAGAAGAGATAGCACGCATTGGATTTATTATCGATGAGGATCTTTAGCTCACACAATTCATGAGATGATTCAGCATCATCTTTATACAACCTCGTTCAGGACATCGGTTCCACAGAGGAAAAGCTTTGTTCGCAGGCGCCGATTTCCAGCTCATTGCGTGATTCCTACAAGATATATGCCTGTACAGTGAAGTGCATCATTTGAAGAGAACACGAACGCCTTTGCTGTCCAGAGCAGCTTGTGGCAAAAAGAGGTCGTGCTGAATGTCGACATCAGCTCTAGTCGTCTCGAACAGCTCCTGTCTGTCGTAGCGCCGAATGACTGTCGCGATCGCCAAGCGCAGCTCAGCTTTGGCAAGACTAGAGCAAGTTAGGGTAAGTGAATTTCCGGAAGACATGATATGACATACTGCATCCCCACACACTGCCTAGATCCCTTTGTAAATGAGACGAGATACCGGTCGAGGGGTGGCGAAGCTTCAGGCCGCTTTTCGAGCCACCGCTCAGGCTTGAATTTGTGTGGCTCAGGGAAGATAGTCTCGTTCTGATGGACATGTACAGAGGTCATGCCGACAGGGGTCTACAAGCAAGATTGTCTGTCAGCGGCCTCAAGGGATGAGAAGGAAAGAAGGCTTACGCCAGGTGGTATCTCCCATTCATGGAATCTCATCACCTCTGTTGGATGTGAACGTTGAAGACGACTGCTGACGCCGTAGGAGAATCTATATAGTGTTAGACATGATGAAATCCATCTAAGCAATAATAAGCGTACCTCAAGCCTTCCTTGAGGACCGCATTCTGGAAGCAATTCGTTAGTAACCTCACTGCTGTCCTTTTGAGGGCAATACGTACAAGGTAAGGCAGTTGCTCTACAACTCGCAACTCTACTGGCGCATATTTGTTTGGCAGAGCTTCCTCAAGTTCGGCCTGTAGCCGCTTGTGGACATCCGGGTTGTCGAGGATATGAAAATGGGTGATAGTCAGGGCATTAGCTGGAGTGTCTGCCCCTGCACCAATCACAACCTGTCCTTCCTGCCACAAGCGCGACTGTAGCTTCTCTTCCGATGGGAGGTCCGACTCTAAAAGGGCATGAAAAATAGTCCTGTCGAGGCCGAGTTCATATTGCTCTTGGCGCGGTTTGTAAACTCCATCGACGACATTTTGCGTGTCTTCTTTGATTCTCTGGCACGCAGGTTAGTCAGCTTAGTCCATCTGGCTTGGCATGGCGCGGATTGATGCAGAGACAGACTTGTTGAAAATCCAGCAGCAGGAGCATTCCGGGATTCATTGCACCAACAACGCTTCGAGGAAGAGCTCGAATAAGAGGGAAAATCCATGGAAATTGCTTCATTGTATGTCCCGCTGCACCTGTCGCCTTGATCGTCTCCACCCAGACAGGGGAGAAATCAGGACTATCCAAATGATTCCAGCTGCGATTTAATGTGTACAGAGTAACGACGTCGGTCGTCAAACACATGTAGACCCGACGCATCGACATCGGTTGCCCTAACTTCCGAAACTCTTCGATGCGACCGCAGAGCTTCTCGATCATGAAGGTAAGCATAGGCTGAAGGCGTGCTATTGTCTGCTTGGAGAAGAATGGATTGAGCGCGGCGCGGCGTGCACGGTGCAACCTGTAATCTGCCGTTCCAAAGCTAGAACCCGGAAGGCCGAATTGATTGAGGTAGAAGACCGACTTGTTGCGCGGTTTGTGCTGCGAGTAAAGCTCTTCATAGTAGTCAGGCTCGTCGATGTGGAGCTCGTACGGACTGATCCGAATGATGGGGCCTGAACACCTTAGCTCCGCTGCGGTAGGAAGAACAAGCCAGCCAGCGCATACCATATTTCTCGTGCAGCTCCTTGATCTTGAAGGTGTAACGTCCCTTTAGGATCACGTCGAAGTAAAACTCGTACCATAGAGTCGCAGCGGCGAGTTTGGGACCGGGGAATTTGGCAAGAGGACCGAAATACACGCTGTGTACTCTGCGACCCAGAAACACGAGCAGGACGACGCATACCAGTCCGATGAGGGTGTTTTGTTGGGAAAGTAAGGGGAGGGCGGCCATTTGGAGATGGTTACCAAGTTGCGCAAACAAGGATGGCTCATCAGGTCTGCTGTGCAACAACAGGGAGGTGAGGGGTAAACATTATGTACCCACAATGTAGTGGACATGGCGGCGTGACGGAACCAGCTGCCCAAGACCAAAAAAAAGTTTTTACCTCGCTCATTCCATGAAAAAGTTCGATTTTGGTAAAAAGTCAAAGGCATCGTAACTAACCCCTGTGTCACTGAATCGGCCTCATCCCTTGAATGGATCAGGATTCCCGTTTTATTAGCGAGATAATTCTGCTTCGGCCTTGGCAAAAGAAACCTAAAAATTCTGAGTGCAATGTTGTTACCAGATTTCCTATACAGAATACTAGAAATCACGATGTTTTTAAGTTATTATATGTCTATGTCTTAGTAGCTGTCGATCAGTACTTTTAATAGTCTGAAGTCAGATATCTAGAGTGATGCAGCCACAAATGCATGCAAAGTCGAATTTGGTGTTCTTTGTGCCAAGACTGCACTACAATTATCACGTCAAACAGACGGGAATACTAATCCATCTAAGGAAGGAGGCCAATTCAGTGACACAAGGGCTAACCTCAGTCTGGCCTGAACACCACGAAATTGGGAACGGCAAGGTCAAATTGAGCTGCCGGGAAAACTATCACCTTTCTGTTGTAAAGTTTGACATTTTTTCATTGGTTGATAGAGCCGCTAGCGTTTACTTGAACAGCCCCCATCAATTGAGAGGAATCCGTCAGAACTTAATGTCACTTTGAGTAAACGTTAGCGGCTCTATCAATCAATGAAAAAAATGTTAAATTTTACGACGGAAAGGTGGATACTAGGGCCATGCCAAGCGTATGCGAACCTCTTACCTGGAAACTAAGTACACATTGATTTTAGTTTAGCCATGATTTTTGGTGAGCTTTCCCCTCCTGAACTCTTACCGGGAGAAGGCTTCTGAAAATGACGCTTGGTTTCTGACACACCTCTATAAGCGTCCCCATGACCGGTACTGAAGCCTATCCAAGCAACGAAGAACTTTGCAGAGCGGCCAGATCTTTGATCATCCGGACCATACCACTGAGCCGCAAGCAAATCTCTTTGAAAGAGTTGTCCGGGCTAAGGAGGTACCGCCTCATGGCTTTAAACTCTTCATCGCTGCCTTCCCAATCACATCTCCAGTGATGTTGTTAGGGTGTGCGATGTATGCTTGATCCGAGAGTAAGGCGTCGACGCAGGAAATGTCCTCGAGTAACAATCTCCAGCGGGAGCCTCTGTGAACTATGGCATCATCAGCCTCGGCTCTCACCATATTAGAGTATTTCGACTGGGACCTGTATTTGTTACAAGCCATCTCAATGTACTGGTTGAGGGCGACAGTCCTAGCGGCTGTTGCAGACCCCTCTAATATGTAGCATGAGATTGGAGGACCTCTTCGAATCCATCATAAGCCAAGATGTGATTCTCTCTTTCTCAAATTCGAAAAAGTACCATGCCCGCTGGACTTAAATTGCCGAATAGGTGGCCAGACAGGGTCGTGGCAAGGGATGGAGAGAGTTTGTCAGTCTGCATATCTCTGAAGCCGTGCTTAAGCCCTGTTAGCTGCCAGGAAACTTCTGTGAGAAGTTGAATACACCGTTACACCCGCTGACAGCCCGCTGGTAACGCGAGCTGATTCAGGCACTCAGGAGGAATTGCTGCGCAAGCCTCAATGAGGATTCGTCACTAAGAGGGTGTTGAGTTATTGATTTTCCATCAGACACAGAATCGTGAAGAAAGGAGGCGCGTTCGGCCCACAAGGATAATTAAAATTTGTCCAACGATCGCATCTTGTCCCAGGCCAAGGTCGATCAGCCGGATTGCACTGTGCTGCACTTAGTCCGACCTCGAATGAAGAGATGAATGAAGTAGTACTCACAGCCACTCCAAGTCCCCAACAGATATCGCAAGGCGTGGCAGAGACCTTGTCTCTATAAGCAAGCTAGCGATTGTTCCAAATGTGAATTCAAGATTCGAAGCTGAATTGTTCTTAAATAGTTGCTAGCACGTGGAATCTCGCCAATACTAAGACTAGCTGATTCAAAATATGGGAAACGAGACCTCCTCTTTGTGGTGCGAACTGACTTATGCCTAGTACCGTAGTAAGTCGAGTATATAATACTGTTGGACCAAAAGGACCGCGGCCCTCGAAGGTCCATTAAACTAGCTTATGTCTGACAGACACTGTTGGACCAGAGGACCGCAGCCACAACTGGCCGCTAACACGCTGTTTGTTTGACAGATACTACTAACAAGAGAAGCTTTGAAAAATGTGGTGGCCATAATCGCATACGAGCTGTATTTGGTCCCGTGCTAAGGATAATTATGCCTCCTACAGTAGTAAGTAATGTACATCTCGCCCAGACTGAATGTCACTAGCTTACCTTTACCATAGTACATGGAAGAAAAGGGCGTCTTGACGTTCGAAAAGATGGATTTCATTGACTTCTTTGCTATCGAATTCAGAATTGGTGGCCTGCCCTTTAGAGAATAGCGTTGCCGCGATTTAGCGCCAAGATCTTGCTGCAGCCTTGGCAGAAAGAACATCAAAAGTTGTTGAGTATGATTCTTCTTTTGGATTCTTATGTCAAATATCGATAAAATAATAGTTTAAGATGTAAGAATGTCCAAACCTTCAAGAGCTATCGAATTGGTATTATTTTCAAGATCTCAATTCAAATAAATAGAGTAATGCGGAGAAAAAGCACTTGCAATTCAATGAGACTTGATGTTCTCTTACCAAGAGAGCAGCAAAATTATGACGCTAAGTCGCGGAACGTCATTCTCAACAAGGAAGGGGAAGCATTCAGTGACACGGGGGGTAGAGCAACAGCTTCGCAAAACTAAGCATTTCTCGGGATTCATAAAGAACGCTCGTGAACACAGAAACCCAACATCAGGGCAGAATGATAACCTGTCTATTGCCTGAAGTGAGCCGAGCCCGTCTAATCGCGTTTCCTCTTCCGGATCTTGAACGGAATCTTGTTTCGTGGACGCTGGGTTCCTGTCCCGTAAAATGCTGTAGTTACTTCGAAGTCTTTCTCCTTGGAGAGTATTTCGATATCAAATTGGTCAACAATCAACGCGCAAAACGTGAGAATCTCCCGCCGAGCCAAGCCACGCCCCGGACAGGTTCTTTCTCCTATACCATAGGGCATATAAGAGTTTACTAAGCCGGAGGTGACAAATTTCGGCTTTTCGTCCTCTTGTGCGGTTTTCGTTGCCACTATCCCGTCTTTGGCTCCATTGGTCCTATCCGTTTTCCTCGGGCCACTTTTTGTATCACTAGGATAAGCCAAGAACCTATCTGCCCAGAAACGATCGAGAGGGTATTCACCATTTCTGGTGTTCCAGAAAGTGGGATCTTTGTGGGCAGCACCAGCAGGGACAATCACAAGACTGTTCCTTGGGAGTCGCCACTCGTTGATGCGGATATCTTCTTTGTCGCTTGAGAAAACAGTCTGTATCTCGATACGTAGACGCAGTAGCTCTGAGTATATCGATTGTAGCAGTGGGATAGCTGTCAGCTTTTCAACGTCCTCGTCTGTCGTGATGCCTTGGAAGTTTGCCGCGGTAAGCTCTGCCCGAAGCCTGGACAGTAAGACCTTGTCCTTGAAAACTTCGATGATATTCCAGATGGCCATAGGATGGATGTTGACACTTGCTCTGCATATGTGACATAATCAGCCTCAATGTTCAGAGTTTCACGAGCAGAATGGTTAACTTACCCCCAGAGAAGACCAAAGTCTGACGATGCAAGGGAGTCGTAATCCCAATTGTCAACGTTTCCCAGGATGCTTTGGCGCTCCCTGACGAACGCGGATCCCCACCAAGGGTCACATCCTGTTTCTTTATCAACATGACTTTCTTGAAAACACGCCCTTGCGATAGCATGCCACCTTTTTACATCTCGAATGAGCCCTTCTCGCAATCGATACGGCTCCGGAAAGCACCATCTTGGGAACCCTTTCATCAAACCATGAAGATACGGGTAGTATCTCAACAAGTCACGCGTGAAACTGGGATTGACGCATTCAAGAATCGGCCCAGCGATCGCTTCGTTCATGGCAGATGTCATTGGGGGCAACCAGAAATCCATCATATCAGGAAATTGTTTCCATTCGTCCTGGATCGCAAGCGAGGGAAGACGACACATGAGAGCGGCAGCGAAGTTCCTATAAAGTATTGGGAGGCCTTTTCCCAACAAGTGCTTGTGAAAGCTAGCATGTGTCAGATGGTCTATGCGATTCTTCGGCGCGATGTGACTGCCTGGCCTTGGCTTTGGCAAAAGACCAGAATCGTCCAAGGTGTACATACTGTACGCCTTAGGTGCCATGCCAAAGAGAGTTTTCAGCACAAATGTGGAGACACCTGGCGTTGTTATTGTTGTAGGGTATTTCCATAATTGTGCAACATTTTCTGGCTTGTAAATAAAGTATACGTTGTATCCCAAAATCTTAACGCCGTGGACTGTTCGTGGTCCATATTTTCGACTGCAAATGCCCAAAAACGTTAGCAGGTACGTAAGGGACCTGGGAGGGGTACCGACTCGGTTCTGGCAAGAGCTCTGGCAGGATTGAATGCGAAGCTTATCGCATGGCCGATGAAAGGTATCATATAAGGTATCATCGGGGGCACTTTGACCACATCTCGGGAGAGCCGTTGAGATGTGAAAGCTATCCATGTTAAGATGTAGACAAAGGCTAAATTGCCTATCAGAAACACAATACACCACAACATGAGACGCAAGAACTGAGAGTCTGTCGAGAGATGCAGTAAGTCAGAGGGGACATGTCCTCTTAGGGCTTCCAATCTAGACGATGAAAAATGCACATGAATAGAAGTGACATTGTCACTTCTGCTTGTGAGAAAGGTAGAATTGTTCAAGGTCTCGAAGGCCATGACTGAGGAATAGATCGTAGGAAGAAGAAGTGTACTAGTATATTGTTTGGAATGGGTCGACCGTTCTTATTGAAGACAGACGTCCTCTGCAACTTATAATCGCAGAGAGGGATTCAGTTGTTGGATCCTTCATGAGATCCAATGGGACATCGAAGGTTGGAGCCGAACAAGGCTTCCTTTGCCTAATCCTCCCTGAAAGCCAATGACAAATTAGAGGCTTCTCTTGCCTGATTCTCCATTGCCCGTCATTGAGGATTGGAGCTGGAAGCACTGGTTGGGTCTTTTTGTTATCCACCAACATTAGATGTAGTGTATCTACCAACGTTAGATGTATTGTATCCACCAATGTTAGATGTAGTGTATCTACCAACGTTAGATGTATTGTATCCACCAATGTTAGATGTAGTGTATCCGCCAACGTTAGATGTAGTGCATCCACCAACGTTAGGTGTAGTGCGCTGGGTGGACGGGTGCACAAAAGAGAGGGTGTCCAAATGGCAAACGGTCCGGCACTATCAACAAGGCATACGTGGGGACAGTGGCGTCCAAGTACCATAATGTAGGGGCACCAACAAAGCAATATAATTTCTTCTCATTTGCGGTTTCCACTGCACTTTCAAGTTGTCATTTTCAGCATATTGTTGTTTGAGTCTGTTGAGGCTGACCGGGTATATTCCGTCTCAAAAAGAACTCTAACTAGTAATATTAATTGTACCGTTAGATGTCAAGTATTTTTAGATTCAAAATGCCAAGCAAAGTTGTATTACTAAGATTTGGAGTGCTAAGAAATTACTGTATTATTGCTTTGTTGGTGCCCCCATGTTATGGTAACGTATCCAACAGTCATATGCACTACACCCTCAAATGCATCAAGATTACTTGCCATTTTGGGTCTAAGAACATCTTTCTATTATTCGATTGTTGCTGGTCCTATTTTGACGATGGAATTGAGAGAAAATTGCTCTAGAAACAATACATCAAGAGGCCACCATCCTCGGATGGATATTTGTTCCATGGCGGCGGGCTGAAATTGGTGACTTGAAAGTTTGGTAGGAACGGAGATGTCGGCCCTAAAACTGTGCATACGGGGTTGTAGTGCATATTTACTCTATGACAGTTGGGTACGTTACAGGGATTGAAAACGCCACGATCTGAGATGTGATCCCAACGATCGGGACGAGCAGTCGTTCCAGGGTAACTTGAAATTAGAAATACTACAAGCCACGGACGGGAATGACTTGCCCAGAGTCTCAACACACCCGAGGGCTTTTTAAACGCGAGTTCTACGATGTCAGAACAGCAAATAGCAAGTAACGACCATGAAGTCTGGATTGGAAAACGCAAGAATATCGGATGAACTTTATAACAGCCGCCACGACGCCTGGGCAGCTCTTCAGACCTTGGATCTCCATATCATAGGAGATCTTTAGGCTGTCTCAGGTTATTTGGCCCATATTTTTCTCAAATTGGGACGTTCAAAAGTCAAGGCGCTAAAGCGAAGTCGACAGCAACAATAGCGGCGGCTCCCATGGCCTTACATCCTGAAAATTCGGCGCCGAGAGATCTTAGAGAATCGGAATCTAGCCAGAGGCAATCTGTCGGCGTTGCTTTTCGAAATCTCAGCGTGTTTGGCTATGGCAATTTCAACGGGCTACCAAAAGACATTTTCCAATTATCCGCTTGTGTTTCTTAGTCAGGTAGGAACTCTCCTCGAACGTTCTGGGAAGCCAAGGATAGATATCCTCAGGGACTTCGAAGGTATTGTACCAAGCGGGGAAATGCTCCTTGTTCTTGGAAGGCCAGGCAGCGGCTGTACGACATTCCTAAAAACGCTGGTGGGACACACACATGGACTGCATATCGATCAAGCTTCACAGATGAGTTATCAAGGTACAGTCTCTCCAGACTAAATCTTACTTTACCATTAGCCTGATGATTTCGGGTTAGGAATGTCACTGGATGTCGTACGCAAACGCCTTCGCGGTGAATACACCTATCTACCAGAGTCAGATGTTCATTTTCCTCATTTGACAGTCTACCAGACTTTGATGTTCGCTGCAATGGCTAGAATGTCCCCAGAGTACAATGTCCTGGATGAACGGAAGGCTGCCGCTACAAAATCAACTGATGCTACCGTTGAAGCTTTAGGCCTAACGCGAACCCTTGGCACACGAGTTGGAAACTCTTTTGTAAGAGGCATCAGCGGTGGGAAGCGAAAGCGAACCAGCATCGCAGAAGTTCTAATTGGTGGTGGTCACCTGCATTGCTGGGACAACAGTACTCGAGGACTTGATAGCGCCAACGCTTTCCAATTCGTTCAGACCCTCCGACAGTCCGCCTCGGAAACCGGCTCTGTAGCTGTTGCTACATTCTACCAAGCTTCTGAAGATATTTACAAATCTTTTGATAAAGTAATGCTGTTGTTTGAGGGTCGCCAAATCTACTTTGGCGCCACTAGCGCAGCTAAGGCTTATTTCACAAAACTTGGATTTCTCTGTCTCAAATGCTCGACTACTGCCGACTTCTTAACGTCATTAACAAATCCTCATGAGCGCAGGGTGCAAATTGGATACGAGAACAAGACCCCTCGAACTCCGGACGAGTTTGCACAAATATGGAATCGAAGTCCTGAGCGAGAGAAGTTAGCCACGGAGATCCAATCTTATCAGAACAAGTTCCCTCCTGGTTCCCAAGACCTGCCGAATGAAGGTGGACATTCCAAACTCCCTTGGCGTCATTGGTCAATGCCGTACAAAGTTTCTTACTTTGAACAAATCAGGCTCTGCGTCAGTCGAGGGATCCAAAGACTAATCAACGATCTTCCGCCAACTATCTCGTCCATCGCGGGCAACGCCATTATATCCATCATCCTCGGCAGTATGTTTTACGATTTGCCAGACGACACTAGCAGCTTCTTCTATCGTGGGGTTCTATTGTTCTTTACTATTCTGACGAACACGTGCCTTGCATCTTTTGAGGGGGTGCAGTTATGGGATCATCGACCTATTGTAGAGAGACATTTTCAGCTTGCGATGTATCGTCCGTCTACAGAAGCAATCGGATCTATGCTGTGTGATATCCCAAACAAGGTCCTGCTAACGGCATGTTTCAACATCCCATTTTATTTTCTCGCCAACATGCGGAGAACCCCGGCGGCCTTCTTTACTTTCTACCTCTTCGCTTTCACTAGTCTACTCACTGGATCGATGCTTTACCGGACAATTGGAGCCATGTCTCGTACATTATGCGCCTCAATCGCTCCTGGAGCAGACTTCATATTGATGCTAGTGATTTACACTGGGTTTGTTCTGCCAATACCTAGCATGCATCCATGGTTCGGATGGTTCGGTTACATCAACCCAGTGGGCTATGCATTTGAAAGCCTAATGATCAATGAGTTCTCTGGCCGCCAGTTTACTTGCGCTACATTTGTCCCGGAAGGGGGAGAATACTATCGGGCCGCTCCTGAGCACAGAATATGTGCTGTAACGGGTGCCCGGCCAGGCGCCGCCGTCGTTGACGGCCGCGAGTATCTGGTCTCCACGTTTCAGTACTACCCAGACCATCTTTGGCGAAATTTGGGAATTCAAATTGGTTTAACGTGTTTTCTTTGCTGCCTCTATCTTCTTGCCACAGAATATATCTCGTCCCAGCGATCAAGGGGTGAGGTCCTAATTTTCCGTCGTGGGCAAGAATTCAGCACGAGAGGGAGTGATGATGATGAAGAAGCCCAGCCTTATCGGACGAATTTTTCGGCTCTTTCAGATGCAGGCTACCGCAAGGAAGACACAGAACGTTCCGCCAAAACCCAGACTCGAGCGGCAACTTTTCTCTGGAACAATCTTTGCTACAACGTAAAAGAAAAGGCTTCCTCTAGACGACTTTTAGACAACGTTGAAGGTTGGATCGAGCCGGGAACCCTGACAGCTTTGATGGGTGGATCAGGTGCGGGTAAAACGACACTTCTCAATGTGCTTGCCAACAGAGCGACGAACGGAGTAATCAGTGGGGAGAAACTTGTGGATGCAAAGTTTCAGGATGAGGCTTTTGCACGCAAAATTGGCTACGCGCAACAGCAAGATATGAGCACTCCAACTGCAACTGTTAGAGAAGCACTTATATTCAGCGCTCGCTTGCGGCAACCGCCAGAATATAGTGATGTTGAGAAGCTGGCTTATGTGGACGAAGTGATAACAACTCTTGATCTCACCAACTTCGCCAATGCGGTGATAGGAACTGCTGGAGAAGGTCTTAACATCGAACAACGGAAGCGTGTCACCATTGGGATTGAGCTGGCGGCTAGACCAGAACTCTTGCTCTTCCTTGACGAACCCACCTCCGGTCTGGATAGCAGTACTGCTTGGTCAATTTGTACTCTCCTACGGAAACTCGCTAACAACGGCCAAGCGATTCTATGCACTATCATCAACCTTCAGGAGTCATATTTGATATGTTTGATAGGCTTCTGTTGATCCAGGATGGTCGTTCTATTTATTTTGGGAACATTGGCCCCGGCTCGCAAACTGTTCTTGAATATTTTCGCAAGCATGGGGCTCCAAGATGTGAGCCAGAAGAGAACCCTGCAGAATGGCTTATGGATATTTCCAGTCGCGCTGTTGATGGATACAAGACAGTACAATGGTCGAAGATCTGGCAGACCTCCACAGAGAGGCAGAAAATCAAAGATTCGCTAGAATTAATGAAGAAAAGGCTACAATCGCCCCCAAAGGAAGGTCCGCAAACAAAAACCAGTGGAAAATACGCTTCATCTTACCTGAAACAACTGTACCATGTTACAAAAAGGAACTTTGAGCAAGATTGGCGCACCCCTTCTTATCTATACTCTAAACTGTTTCTCACCCTTGGTGCTGTAAGTATTTTTGAACCAAAGTTCGCTGCACATCTAATGGTTTCCGCCAGGGTCTCGTTAATGGATTCTCCTTCTATATGTCTGCAAATAGTATGCAAGGTGTCCAGAATCAAGTATTCTCGGTGTTTCTAGTTTTCACCTTACACAGCAGTCTTGTTCAACTGATAATGCCGCGGTTTCTTGAAAATCGGACCCTATACGAATTATCTGAGCGCCCATCTCGTACCTATTCGTGGGCAGTGTTCGTCATGTCTAACATCATTTCGGAGCTGCCGTGGCAGACCCTCTTGGCTGTTATTCAGTTTACAACATGGTACTACCCTCTGGGGATGTATCGAAATGCTCTCGCTGCGCACCATCTCAATGAGAGAGGAGGGTTAATGTTTCTACTCATATGGTCTTACATGCTATTCTCCTCGACATTTTCTCAGATGGTGGTCACCATAATGCCAGACGCTGCAACTGGAATCAACATTTCCGCATTGCTCTATTCACTGTCTCTGATTTTCTGCGGGTAGGTTCAAACTGTACCTTGTCATCCATACCAACATTTATGTTTGCTAACCAATTCTTACAGAGTTCTAGTCAGCCCCAATTCTCTCCCTCGATTCTGGATTTTCATGTACCGCATAACACCGATAACATATTTCATCAATGCCTTAGTTTCGACCGGCATTTCGGGCGTGGAGATCACATGCACAGCACAAGATGTCTTACAATTTGATCCCCCAGGCGGGCAGAACTGCGGTCATTATCTAACCGACTACATCAACGAAATGGGAGGCAAGCTATTCAACCCTGACGCCACAGAAGAGTGCCAATACTGCCCCGTCTCCACCACAGACAACTTGATTGCCAGGCTCGGGATCGATTACCGTGATCGTTGGAAGAATTTTGGTATTACGCTGATTTACAGCGCCGTCAATGTCGCCGGTGCATTGTTATTGTACTGGTGTTTCAGGGTTCCCAAACGCATCCATCGAGAAAAAATATGATAGCCATATTGTACCTCATGAAAAGCCAATCGCTGCTTTATTGGGGAAACGAAACGCTCGCTGATTTTCTCGTCGCTGGATCTTAGTAAGGGTTGAGGACGCAGCCTCTTTCTCTTTGAGGCTCAGGCAATCATGGCTGAGTGGATCCTGGCTTTGCAATTTGAAAATGGCCCCAGATCTATGCTAAGCATAAATGACATAAGATTCGGATCGAGTGACACTGTAAGTGTAATGTTGCAAGTCATTCGAAGTACCCAGTGCTGGATCAATGATCTGGAGGTAGCAAGAGCTGGCGAAAATCGAAGGATTCGTTGGCAAGGTCTCCAAAAGGCCACAGGTGACAGGTATGGTTCGCAATGCCGGCCGATCTCTTGCCGGGTTTGCTTGTCTCTCCTGGACCCACATCGTCTCATTCGAGATACCCTCGCCCTCTTCTCCGGTAAAGAGAAATGGGAATAAAAGTGGTAAAACCAGAGGGAACGTGACGATGATTAGTCCAAATAAGATTCGTACGATGGATTCAACTGTCTGTTCCATCTTCAAAGGAGACTTCTTGCAAGTAAACCAGCAGATGCCACTCGAGATATTCAGAGCCAGATACAATCTTCCTTACACACGAGGGTGCTGTATAGATCCCTCCTTTTATCGAACTACGTTCGGGAACCGGAACGCCTTTCGAGAGGCGAGATTGCAGTGTCCAGTTCGGCGTGTAAGCAGGCGGGTTGGTTTTCCATCGAAAAGTACTCCCTCAGATTAGTCCGGAGGCATCCATTCTGGTTTAGATATTTGGCCTCCAACAAAGACGCCTCACTGCACTGGAGCGACGACTTGGATGAAACAGGATAGATGCGTGGCGGTCTGGCAACTTGATCGGTGCGCCTCCAACCCGGACATGGAGCTGGATATGGCATAAGGCAGTTGGATCCACATGCATGATTTAAGATGATAGATATGCCTCGTGTTGTTGTCAGGGAAGGATCCATCCATCAAGTGTGGTTCGAGACCCATTAGCGCTGTCTTTTTGGCGGAGTGCTTGTTGCATCCTTTTTCTGTTGTAGAAAGTGTGGTTAAGTATATCGACCAAATGGTCTGGAATCACATGGCGCCCTCCAAACCGGTTGGTTTTGGGGGAATAAGTATTTTTACGCTGGCTAGTAATATTGATACAAAACACCACTCTATCTTACGGGGCTTCCCATCGCTCTCATCCAACGCCACAATCTCACTGTCGTTATCTACACATTTCGATTGCTTCTACCAGTATTGTTTCGATTGAATTCGATAACCCTGCACTGGTTATAGGAACTGAGCAGTTCTCTGCTGCTTGGAATGCTTTACTAACGGTCTATGTGTGTGCGCGCTGTGAAGGAGTGATCGATGCCGAGGGGATACACGATCAATACCAGATAGGCTAGTCCTAAATGAGCGATTTCTAGGACCCTTTATCGTGTTTCTGGCAAGACTAGATATATGGTGTTGTCTCTTGATGTGGCGTTACTAGAATTAGCCTAGCAATATTTTTGGCCCGCCTCCCTGGTGATACGACTGCTTGATTACAACCAGTCGCTTATCAGTACTTGGCTGACCGGGCGTTACACTAATTTAAATTAACTAGTACTATGCCGGTATATCAGCGGCAGGATGGGTCCGCGTCTTTGTGTGAGCCTAACAGTTACATTACTTCAAAAGAACCACATGCTCATCCAACATAGTTCTACACTCTCAGGAAGGGCCGCAGAAATGCCCCAAAATCTGCAGGGGCTGGTCACCAAAAGTTGGGGCGCTTACACGCCTGCACCATCAAATTCTAGACACGTTGCCAATGGCTTGAGCAAGCTGATTGATTCTCTAGGGTATGAAGTTCGGAGAGAAGTTGCAAGAGAGCAACGGAAGCTATCTACGGAGTGCCAAGCATATCAAGCACCTGACATACATGATCATGGGCAATTTCAAGTTAAAGTAGGAGTACAGGTGTGCAAAACTACCTTAGTTGTTTGCTTTTCACAGTCGTAGACAAAATGTACCTTATTGGTGCAGTAGAGGCAGGCGCGCAAGACATTGGACTATCATCTGAATTCATCCAACGGGCTTTCGATTTCTATAAACTGTTTACTGCTTGCTCTCATTTTGACCTCGATTGTATCAGTGAAAGGCATATATATGTCTACCAGCTTTTCGAAATGTCGGATGGTATTAGATATCGTGGACTTCATATAGATTATTCTGATATTCGCCGCTGGACCAGAAGCACAGCATTTCCGTGGAGTGAAAGTTCGGCGAACTTTTGTTTTCAACAGTGAAGGGTGGTTAGAAGGTATTTTAATCATTCAACAATGAAGTCCACTCCAGCAATTACTATTCCTGCTTAACAATATACATAACCTCAACCAGATCTCCCCATTTTCCATCTCCCAAACTTCTCAATATCTTCTTAAGCTCCTGCAGCTTCTCCTCATCAAGTCCGTCCTTCCTTCTCGTATAGACATTGATCACGGCTGGTGAAAAAAGTGATTTTTGCGCAAAGACCACAGCCCACTGCCCCCGTTCCTCCTGTTCTCCAAATCCCAAGATCTGCCAATGGCTTGTCACGAACTTGAGCCAACCATTGCCGCGCCAGATCCATTCCCCCGGCTTGCCGGTAGATGAAATATCTGTGCCACGCATGGTTTGCAGTTGCGGGGAAGTCAGGGTTTGGTAGGTGATGAGATCATCCAAGGAAGTAGCGTCGTGGTTGCGAGAACTGAGAGTAGTATAAGTGAGGACGACGTTACGCTTGTCGCGCCAGGCGGGGGACGATGTGTGTGTTATGTGCCATTGGCCCAGGACCTCGTCGGGGATTGGGACTTTGACCGCGGAAGTGTTGTTGGTGAAAGATCGGTCGAAGATGGAAGGACAACGGAGGGCAAAAGAAGCCATTCGATCAGTGAGGATAAATGTAGCTGCGGCCCCTGTTTGATGGGACGGCACTGTTCGAGATTAAGACGACCAGCAGCAGGAACAATTGATAAAGGTGACTCGCAGATTAATCAGAGGGTGGCTCGCCTACAGCGATGCAGCAAAATGATCCGAGTTAAGTTACTCGGAATGAGTCGGGTCAGAACGAGCCAGGTCGAGACTCGAGACTCGACCTGAGTACAATTGGGTATGAGGGCAGCGGACCGTACCCTGTGTGGAGCCGCATCAAGATTTCTGAGCGCAGTACTCTGTAATCTGACTTGAGACAACACAAAGCTACGACCGACGAATAGATTGGCATTCTTCCCACATCTCTGGTCCTGCCAAAGTGTTAAACAGCAGCGACCTCTTATTAGTCGATTCGGTAGTAGTTTCCTAGTCTGTAGCCAGCTGTCAAAACCAAAGGGGTGCGGCTTCTAATGGCTGCACCAACTTATATTTTGTCTGACACCAGCGTTATAAATGGTCCCATATGAGTGCAATTTCGGGGCAGAATTCGCTGTACCGTACGGTACCAGTATAAGTGATCATGGCCGACGCTAGTATCTCTAGCTGAATACGGACGCTTTTCATGACTGCTAAACTGGTTCAGTGCGGTCTTAGCTCTGTCCAATCCGTCAAGATTCAGTGCAGGGTACCATTAGATATGATAATCGATCAACATGCATGGCTGAGAACCAAGAGTACTCTCTCTGCTATCCCAAAGTCTCTTTGAGTATCGTTCAGCAAAGTCGAATTCTGAGGTGCCCAACCATCCAATATGGGAGCCATCAGGAGACCGCCATGTGATCGATTGCCGAACAGGGTCGTACTAGCATTGAGGCAAACTCGCTGCCTTGCAAGAGCAGAAGGACAGTCCGTTAGCTTTTTTCTTAGCTCGCTCTCAGATGTGATAGCACGAACACAAGGGTTTCCGCCGGGGGACCTCTAATGAAAATTCCCTCGAATCTTCAACGTCAGGTGCTTGGCTGTAAGAGTTGAAGTTGCATGGCGGTCGAGTAGTCCAGATTCTCCGTTTCTTTCTAAGCTCCGGATCCTTCAGAAAATAGAAATGAAGATGGCAGCAATCAGCCTCTTTCGATTCGATTAGAATAGCATGCCATGTGCGGATGACGCATCAGTTTTGCATGTGCCACATGATCGGCACGTGTGATAGCATGATTCATGCTGGTAGAAACCGCTGAACTCGCTGACCAGTATCAACTGAGACACGGAGCTGAAATCATCCGATGTATGGAGCGCTGGAGGCCACTGAGATAAACACTTCGCTCTATGGTAGCTAGGAGATTAGACATGCATTGCTGAAGAAGAGCTAGCTTCCAACCAAATGTTCTCTTGCTTCGCAGAACCCTGCTGACGGAATGTCATCAACTGAAAACTGCTGTTCGTGTTAGATTTAGCTGATTATTTGTAGTGGTTTGCAGGTAGGACTAGTACATGCATCTCGCTGACGAATTTCTCGGATCCTAGTTCTGAGGTGTACAACGGCGCTTTCTTCCGGTGGCCATGTCGTACACCAGTCGATAGCCTCCAGGAGATACTGGGAACCTTGCTCGGAGATTTCTTGGGAGAGGCCTGGAGCTCTACGATAAACTATAAGCACTCTTCCACTCGCCTGCGCACCCACGCTTTCAAAGCGCTTCTCTATGTATGGGAATTGAGGATGTTGGCGAAGGACTTTGCTGAGGATATACCGTGCATTTAGCCCCAATACCAAGCCTGCCACTCCTGGGCCGCAATCCCGATAAAATTTTGGATGCATCGGACTATTCTTACGCAGCCTTAACCCGAATTTGACCTCTTCATGAAGATCAGCACCGTTGGTCATGAACGCATCAATCAATCCAAGCAACTCCATGTCTGAAGGTAGCCTTCCACGAATCCAGTCAACCCAGTCAACAGTGTATCTCACCCAAATCCAATGTAGAGATGCGTTCCAACAGCTAATTTGCGGCCAATGATTGTCAACTCTGAAAGTTGTGCTAGGATTAGCACCATGTGACAGAAGCATCAAAATCAGTTCTGTGCGCGGGTTTGATGCCAGGCCGAAGACGGCACAGGTGAGTAGACAGTTGATGGAAGTCAGATCTGTACGCTTCAACTGCTCAATAAACCGTTTCGACATATCGAGACAAAGACCATAAGTAGCTGCAAGGCCCAAGAAGTTTGTCGCTGGGGTGTCTTTGTGACTCAACATTTTGTATTTCTCAACCCAGTGCAATTCCTTGGGGACAATGGAATATATGCTACGAAAATAGCTATCCACAACGTCCATCAATGACTCAAGAGGGTCATATTCTGAGATCTGCGCCTCTCGGACGCTTTGGAGCGCCTTTGGCAGGTTTAACCATGCAATCTCTTGCAAGAGTCGATCGATGCCAAGTCTAGATTTGACTAAAATGGCACATATACTGGAAGCAGGAGGCGGACGTTGCCCTAGAATGACTTGGCCTTCCTTTGTATTTACCAGGAAATTCCAGGCAGTGCGGTGAAGGAAGCGTACTTTAGTCGCCCGATATAAGCGTTTTAGTATTTCATCGTCTGATTTACTCTTGTCCGGTATGTCCTCATTTGGCATATTCTCATTCGGCTTATCCGCATCTGATATGTCATAATAAGGTTTATCCTTATCTAGATGGTCAACTTCAAGAAGCCCACCACACCGCGTTAGGACATGTGTTTCAGCGCTCTTGCACAAAGAGATAACGACGTCTCTGTCAGGCAGAGCAGATTTGTAATCTAACAACTTAGACTGTAGACTCTCGTTCGTCGCAATCATAAATTAGAGAAGAGACACTTCCTTTTGAAGTATCAGTCGAAAATACAGGGCGGCCTCCTCGTGGTAGATCTTCTGGTCCTCTCCTAGGCGGTTCCACATGAGTGTATAAAGATTCTCGATACCTTTTAGAAGCATATGTAGTCGTTTTACCATTGTATCCCAGTCATCTTTGTTGGTAAGACCTTTCAAAAGGAGTTTGACAGCCAGAATTACCCACAGAAAAACGCCTTCTGCTTTATCAATAACACTACTAATCAGACGTTTGCCGCGCCGTGAATTCTCTTGTAACAGTTGCTCCATTCTAGGATCATTTTGTAGTCGGTCTGCCACATATATCTCAATATCTGGTCTGGTCAGGTCTTGAAGCTTGAGCTGTACAGAGCCTTCAAAGGCATTTAGGAAGGTCTGTATCGGACGACTTGATAGGCAGATCTTTACAGATGGTCTGCTTTAAAGAGCATGTATTAGGAGAATGAGATCTTCCTCATCCTCAGCAAATTCGTCAAGACCATCAATAAAAAGACATACCGGTATTGAGGTCTTATCGATTGCAAACTTCAAAGAAGATTCAAGTCTTTTTCTCGTGCAGACTGGCATTTGATCGTCATGAGCAGCGATACCTAGTAACTTGACCAGCTTGGGAATGAGTTCCTGGTGATGACTCAGAAGCTGGTATAGTAAAGATCGTAACAGACCCAGAAAACTCTTCTGTAAGCTACTTCCAGCGTTCCAACCAAAGAACATTAAAGTTAATACCTGTGATTGTCGGCCCCATACATTTAACGAATCCAACGTACGACGATTGCTAGTAATATAGTTCATAAGAGTCGATTTGCCAGACCCGGCTTTGCCTTGAATTAAATATACTCCATTGCCCTTTTCAAGCCAACTGATGAAACAATCCCAACGACGTATATGTTTTCCTGTTCGGTCGAAGATCCACTTGAATGTTTGTTCATGTGCCTCTGATATTTCCTCCTGTCGATGCTGAATTTCATCATAGTTCAAGCTCGCAAGGAGCTTTAGCCGGTTTTGGTCATTGTCGCTTTTCATCTGCATATCCTGAAATTCTGAAGTTACATGGTCTCTAGTGATTCTGTGTTCCTGATCGATAGTACTCTTATTCGCGGTGTTCTCTTGTGAAATGAGGTCTTCGATTTTGTTGAAACGCTTCGCAACATTCTTGACAAAGGCTTGCAGACTCTGTTCAAGGTTTCCAAAAGAGTCATCCTGCTGTAATGCAAGCAGATCGACTCGGTCACTAGGGCGAAACGCTCGTTAGCAAGCGATTAGCACCCTGACAGACCTCGCAATAAGATAGCTTAAGGAAAATATTCCAGGAAGGTCCCTAAACTGCCGGTAGCTGGAATAGAAAGTCGACCTCCGCACCCCACTAAACATTTTATGATCTCACAGTGAATGCCCGCTCGCAAATGTGACAAGATTGCATGAGCAGAATTGTAGGAAGTCCTGAGACAGGCACCTTACCTGAGGCGTGATAGCAGTCGAGTATTGAGCACACTCTCGTATTCGCCAAGTCTGTCTTTTATTTTCTTGATGTAATTATTCCTCCGAATGGACTTGATGGCCTTGAATACAGCAGCTCTCTTCCCTTGGCGGCCAGAAAGCGTCAACTTGTCTAGCTCGTCTCGTAGGTCGTTGGCCGTTATGGTGCATCTGGTGGCGAGTTCGGCCAACTCGTGCTCGTCTTGGGTAAGAGGTTTGTTCGTTCGTGCGTGAAGGATTGACGCGCTCAGGTTTTCAGTGATCTCAGCCAGATGTTGTGACGTGTAGTTGAGATCTTGGTGCTCAATTGAGCTGCCGTCCTTGTATATCTCCGCGCATTTGGACGCAGCCTTCAGGCCAAAGTCGACCAGTTGAACGACATTGCAAGCTAGTGCGAAAGCTGCAATAGCTTCCATTATGTGCGCCTAGGTGACGCGCAGGCGACGCTAGGTAGCATTTATGTTTGATAGCCAGGTCTTTAATGACAACGAGATGCTTTGGGTCGACAGAAAATGAACTTCAAGAATATTGCTGTGCTTCAGCCGGGCAGCTAGGCCGCATGACACTGTACATATTAGATGGCGTTATTGGCTGGCTGGTAGCTGCCCTAGCCCAAGGCCGGGTGACGAAAATAATGAGACAACCCACTAATGAGTTGTGCGAATCAGCAACACATCATCAATGTCACTTTATCAAGGGTCTCGATCCTTTGGCAAAATCCTAGACAAAGAGACCAGAAATATTTACTCGGCAATAAGCGTTATACGAAAAGACACCACGAAGGAACTCGCCGCACTTTTCAGCTTGGCCGGCAAACTCGCAGGCGGAGTCCCCCAACCCCGTGGCTCAGCCGCCAAGACTACATCCATGGTCATTTGCCGAAATACCAATCTGTCAAACAAAAGCTAGTAAACGGTCCTCTGAGGGCCGCGGTCCTTTTGGTCCAACACAATCATACTTCCGATGGTCAAGGCCGAGTGGTTGGGCCGTTGTCGGATTTTGAGATTCGCAAGCGACGAAGCGCACGAGAAGAGCCGCGAAGATATGTGCTTATTGGCGCCAATCAAGTGTGGAAACCTTGCTACGGGCTGCGCGAGAGCACTCCAGTCGAATCAGTTTTGCAGAAGAGACTAGGGGAGCGCGGATTCAGGGGTTCACGTCGTTCTATGTGCACGCCACGGCAGGGACTACAGGTCTCAGGGATTTTGATCTGGTTGATGCGAATGCTGATGTATGTGAGCAGGAAGGTGTCTGGCTCGACATTGACGCATCCAAGGCGGGTGATGGAGTTCTCAAGGACTAGAGTGCACCGGCCTGCTGATGGCATCACAATGGATCCGCATAAAACGTTCGGCGTCCCGATGACTTGCTCTTGTCTGCTTGAAGAGATGTGTGAGGCTTCAGAAAGCCATGACGCTCCGAGCGAGATATCTTTTTTTCTCATTAAATTTAAGGATAGAGAAGTGTGGAATCTTCCAGATTCAACTTTGCGATGCGGGGGGAAATGGGACAGATAGTCTCAAAGTCGCCTTTCGCTAGGTATAATATGGTCGTGAAGGACTTGAGGGTTTAGTAAACAGGGGGTACTCCGACGCTGCGTCTCTGGCATCGCTGGTAAAAGAACATCCGGAATGTGGTATTGGTCTCCTCGAACCTGCCGCCTTGCTTGCAAGTATGTTTCTACTATATCCAATGGTCTTCCGGCGTTGGAAGTCACGCCGAAACGTATCATTATGCAGACGACTCGTCAAGTAGCGAGAAGAGACTTGCTTCTTTCGAGGCTTGATGGTTGATCTTGTTCCAGGAGAGCAGGGTGGTTTTTCAGAGCTGTGGCCCATTGCCAGACAGGTTGAGGTGTTCACTAGGGGCCATCAGCGAGATAAGTAGTCATACAGAGCTTGCCAATCAATGCTTTCCCTAAAGTTTTGACTTGATTTGTAATATCTGTTCTCTGGCCTGATCGATTTCGGGTTCGTCCTTACTGCCATTTTCCTCCTCGCTTTCATGCTCCACGATCCGAGCCTCTGGGCAGCCTCTTTTTCATGTCATGGAAATGCTTCAGAAGTCATAACCAATCCTCCGGAGTACAAATTATTGTCGTTGTCCTTTTCTGGGGTGGTGATGACTTCCGGTACAGAAACACACTTGAGAGCATTTGCAAGTCCTCGGCAAAACCCCAAAGAATTTTTGATCAATCCAGAAGCCTTTTGTGCACCTTAAATACTAGACAGATTTGGCAATGATGCGTTTCTAGTTTCCGTAGTCAGCCGATCCGAATTTATTTCGTTCAGGAATGATGGCTATAGCTGCCTGCTAGACAAATACTGTTTCTGATGTTGGCGAGTTCCTGCTTGTTCTTGTATAGACACTGATCTGAAGATTCAGTAAATTGTCGTTGGCTCATTTTGTTAACTTTTAGTGTGGTCATAGGGTGACATCTATCCTTTTGAAATCTGGGTCTGTCTGCTCATTGTTAGGGCTCAACTGGTTAAGACAAGTCTCAACTAGAAGCTGGGTCCAAAGGGTTGGTTGGGTAGAACAGGAAGTGCAGTGAACAATACTAAGATGTCTTCAACTTAGGTATGAGCTGATAACATGAGTTGACTACGAAGACTATGAAACTATCTGGGAAATGAGCGTGCTTATATAGGCTAAGAGATTCGTGCTCATGGCTGCTCACTCATGAGCGCTCCCTTGCTTTGGTTAGTTCCAGGGTCTCCTCACACAGGGTCCGTGCAGCCTCCAAGGCCTGTCGGTGCCTAGTGTGTTCACGTGCTGTAACACTCATCTGAGACTAATAAGTTCTCTGGATCCTAGGTTAATATTGTGGTAGCAAGCCAAAACTCTATGGGCTAATTAAATGAATTAGAACTTTACTAAAATAGTTATAATAAGTTGAGACTACATTATTCTTGATGCTTAAGCAAAAGAAATAAATATAAATCACGATCCCAAAAAAGATTCGGGCCTAACAGGGATTTGAACGGTAGGGATGTTAGTTTAGAATTTTCATTTAGAGGTGTGTAAAGTCATTTAGGTAAAGTGTTATGTAGGTGTTATGTAAATGTTATGAAATTGACCTACCCCTGGACCTCTTACAATTTGAGAGCATGGATGCAAACCCAAAGCAAGAACTAGTGCAAATGTTAGATTCTGTCAGGAGGAATGATGGAACTACATACTTCTACCACTGAACTATCAGGCCAATTTAAAGAACTCTAGCTCTTTCATAAAATATATATCATTTTACTTCATTCTTTTGTTCTAATGATCAATCTTACTTATCCTCCTAACATCCACTTCTGTTTACTCCACTGATCAATTATACTGCAAACCAGATACGTCGTCTCCAGCATAATTTTCATCAAAAGGTTGGCCTGTATCTAATCTGATAAATAACATGCAACATCACCGTCAATACTGCTCATCTCCTACACGAGACATCCATTTTCCACACCAAGCAAGACAATCCATGATTCAATATCGTCAACAGGACTTGAATCGAGTTTTGGATAATCCGCTCCCATGTCCTTTTGTACCTAGCTCTTGACGTCAGAAGGCTGTATTGGAATCAAACAGCACGATGCCAAATCCTAACCACTGAAAAGATGAAAGATTGTCGAGCTGAATTCCTCAAATCGGAGAGAGATGCGACATCGGTTGAATGTGTTCCTTGATGATTTCCAAGAAGTCGGTTGAATTTCAGCGATAGGGCGAACCATCATAAAGTTCGGAGAAGAATCCTCGAAGAGCTTCAAATATCTGGGCTGAACGAGCCGAGAAACTGTCTCGACCTCACTCAATGTCGCATTGGCTTTCAGGAACTGTGGAAGCGGTGGAGATGGACATCGCAGTTGTCTATTGGACCAAGTCCTGCCACCATACTAACACACCCTCAACAGATCTAGAGCAGATCTCATAGAATCCGACCGAGAGATCGTGCCTTCAGACTATGATCACTTGCTCGTCTTGGAGCCACATCAGAGCGGCCGGGCAAAAGATATGCCATGCGGCAATTCGTGGCAGACGGCAAGTTTGGTTGGAACAACAATCACTCCAACTACATTCTTTTCTGGTCTTACGCCGACAGCAAAGGAGACCACTATGCGCCAACCCTTCCATCAGCTCTGGTATCCTTTATGCGTGCCTGTGGTAACCGCAACCCCTCTAACTCCACCACGCCCTTGTCTCAAGTATTCCCATGAATTGGGCACGCAGAAAATCACTACTTTACGCTTGCAACGGTCCGCCTCATTTCACGATAGAGCAGGCGTGGGCATGGCGCAATACCAACCTCAACTCCGCCAGAAGAGAGACATCGAGAAGACTTCTCTTATTAGTGGCGGTCGAGCTTACCGCAGTATGCTTGTAAGGGTCCGTCCCCTCCATAACAGAGCAGGCGCGGACATGACGCAATCTCAACCTCAATTCTGGCCGGCAGAGGGACATAGTCGAGAATGCTCGGATTGGCGACGATTGAATAATTGACAAGCCATCATGGATATGTTATCCTATACTTACCTCCGCCATCAGCTCCTCGACGATCGTATCCCTGTTAACCTTACCACTCCTTCATCAATAATATCTTGATCTCTTCCAGGGCCGTATTTCGTTTCAGCTCTACCACACCCTCATCGCTAATATGCCATTTTCCACATCTGTCAGATCTACATAGTATGCTGTCCTGGCCGGTGTGTGGACGTTTTACCATAGCGAGCTTGATAGAGATGATTTTGCATCGTCATCTTCAGTCAAAGGCCAATTTAAGACGAGTGGGAAACTTGCTTCGACTTGCCCTCAGGGCAACGTGAAATGTTAATATCTACATGGTCATACCATTCGGAGTGCAACACGACCCAGCCAGCGTGTTACAGGAGCCAGTCGCCTATGCGAGGGTTGTTGCTACCTTGAGACGAAAGAACCGATTTCATTCCTGGGATGCAGAGGCCTTGAAGGGCTAACCAGAACAGACTACGAGGGTTTCGATCGCTACACAGCTTGAGACTTTAATGCTTGAAATAGCTTTGGATGCTGCCAAGATGTTGAGAACATACTCGAGCAGAGTGGCAACCTCGTCGACTCTGTGGCTATATGCATTCCACGATTCTACCCACAACACCAATCAGGAACCTGATCGCCTGATCTATTCTCACAATTGGCGCAAAGCGGAGAAGAGAGGTTGAGAATTCAGGAAAATGCGACCGGATGAACATTAGCTCGAGAGTATTCCTATATGTGATGCTTACCATTCGTCGCCCGCGGGGCGGCAAGTTAGAAGTGAGAAACGACGACGATCTCATCGTTCTAACAACAATTATATCCGCACCATTCAGCTTCCTGTTCTTATATAAACAACTGGCACGCCGCCGTCAAACCAACCCAAATATTTGCAAGACTTCAATAACCCGCAACCAACAAAGCCCCACCCACGCCGATTAGAGTGCCTGGGATCCAATGTCCCAACACCTTCGCCCATTGACCTTTGCGATCAGCCTCCCATTTCCCTCCTACCTTCGTCCTCCCTAGATCGTCTTCCTCCGGCTCCTCCATCTCCTTCCCCTCCCTTGCTTCCTCCTCCTTCAGCTTCCCACTCAAACCTTCACGCCCACTCCCCTCCCCACCCAACCTCCAAACCAACAATCCATCCCCCAGCGCAGCAACAACGCCACACATCCAAATAACCCCCAACGCTCTCCAGTCCCGCTGGTACGCGAACACAAACTGGGTGAGGCCGAAGGAGACATTGCGCAATCCGCATGCCAGCATGAAGGGATTCAGCCTAGCCTCGCCCGCTTCATGACCATGACGAGATTCGCCATGGGATGAGACCTGTTGGATGGGAGAAGACGAACTTCCTGGATTGAGAGCGCATTGCTGGTGGATAGGGTGTGCGAAGCCATACGAGCGGAGGCCGAATTGGTCTGCGTATTTGGTGGGCCAGAAGAGAGAGCGAAGGCCAAGAGTTGTGGAGAGGGTTCCTATCAGGAGAGCGGCTGTGAGTTTGAAGGTTGTGGTGTTGGAGCTGTGGGGGGAGAGGGATTGTGACATGGTTCTATGTTTCGTGGGTGCCTGGCGGGATTTGCTGTCTACTAGTAATATGTGGTGGTCGTGGAGGGGCTAGATGAGATAGCTTTTCAGGTCTGCGGCACACGTTTTATGATCATCTTCAAGGCTTGCTACAATGAAAGGTTGTTTTCTATCCTCGAAGATCATATGTGGTCTTGGGTGAGAGAGTGATATCTTTTCTGAGCCGGTAGGCCTGAAAGATGGTGGATACTAATCGCGTTAGATATTTTGTTAGGCTGCTCGTGCAGCAATACGAGCAGGAGCAGTACGAGCAGTGTGGGAAGCCTGAACGCATCATGATGGATACCTTCGTATCTGCGGAGTGCCAAGCCCGGAGGCTCCTGATATCCAAGTTGGACGATACTGGTAGTGATAGAACCCAATAATGGTCAGAAACCATCCTGGATAGGTGACGGCTACTGGCCATGCCCGGCTATAGCCACCTATGAATTTACGAAGAGTCCAACAATGCCGCTACCCAGGCTGGGATCCTGTTCACACCCTCACCCCGTATAGCGCTAACAGGCATAGCAGCAACCCGGCTTCGCCATCCATTCTTTCTTCCACTAGGATGATTGATCTCTCCGGACTCCACACCCCTAATATATGCCTGAAGATTGGCGAAATTCTCCTTGGTATCCTCCTTGTCTGCTTTTGTAGCAACCACGAACCACGGCTTCGACGAGATGGGAGGAAGCTTGAGGGGTTCCAGCACCCGAGCAGGTTCCGGGTGTATGATCATTCCCACCCCTCCTTCGTCGTGTTCGCCCGGCACAGTTGTCGCAGAATCGAAAGACTTCCACTCAACCATTCTGTGCTCGGTATCTTCGTTCAACTCTCTGTTCCTCAGATTTTCATATTCTCCAACCTCTTTCCAGAGGTTTTGTAGAGCAAGGACAGCATCTGCAACGCTAAGATCAACGACAAAAGCTAGGATTCTTGCTCGCTCGATATGTCGGAGAAAGCCAAGTCCCAGCCCCTTGTCGAGATGTGCGTCTTCGACCAGCCCGGGAATATCTGCAATTGTAAAGCTTGTTCTTGGACCTTGACCGTCCTCATTCCCTGATCGAACGATGGGTCTCCCTTGATTGTTATCGAGAATAACCGTTCCGATGCTAGGTGACAACGTAGTGAAAGCCCAGTCACCGACCCTTGTCCGACTGTTGCTAATTGATCTCAGCAACGTGCTCTTTCCTGCATTTGGTAATCCCACAAGACCGACGTCAGCTAAGAGCTTCAATTCCAGCTCCAAAGTCAATCTCGCTCCCAGCTCGCCCTTGCTTGCAAACTTTGGTTTGGGTGTATCTCTTGTTGCGAAGTGGGGATTTCCCAGTCCACCCATTCCGCCAGCTACTAGCAACATAGGCTTCTCCATGTGCTCAGAAAGATCAAGTTCGACCGGTGCTTGTGGAGCCATCATGGCGAGATTCGATCTTCTTAGCTTTGGAGGTGGCGGCATGGTAACCCGCGTATCTCCTTGAGCCTTCGCGCCAGGGTAGTAGACCCATCTCTCTCTCTTCTCCGCCGCTCTCCTACCCGCCGTGTCCTGAAGTGTCTCGAACTCCAGCGTCTCCCCAGCGCCAAGTCTTAATCTTTCCTTCTCTTCCTCCTCCGCAGCTGGATCACTTCTCCCTACCTCCCTCACCACAGTCCCCGGAGGAACTTGGATCAGAACATCTGCTCCACGCGATCCGCCTTTATTGCCGCCCTGTCCACCGATACCGCGGCCTGCTTTGACAGTTCCACGTCTGGCGAGCTTGTGCAGGCTGGTTTGACCTTTCACGGCCTGAATCCACACATTGCCACCAGAACCACCATCACCGCCATTAGGAGGGCCATCGGGAGTGTGTGTATCGCGAAGGAAGGAAGCACAGCCGTTGCCGCCGGACCCAGCGTGGACGGTTATGCTGCATTTGTCAACAAAGATCGAGCGGGAGTAGTCGTCCGGTTTAGGAGAGAGGTGATGGAGTATCTGGGGAGAGGCTTTATGGACGGACGGTAACGTAGATGTAGCAGGTCGTAGTGCACGTGTTGATTGACTCAAGCTCCGGCGCTGGCTGGAGAGACGATCGACTACCCTTTGGAGCGACCTACTCGATTGGTGGGACCGGTCACTCAAACAGGGGTATAAGAAAGGGAGGAGGAGACCCTGTTGTTTCGACATCGATAGATAACAGTCGGATGAATCTTCCTTGTCACCATTACTGACTTGTGATCAGGAAGAAATGCCTCTGTTGAACGCGATAATATGCCGAGAGCTCCCAGATCTTAAAACACAAAAGAGGCTTAATGCGTGCTTGGTACACTGTACTGTGCTACTACTAGTACTACTTAGCAGGAAGAGGCCCTCTAAAAATAATGCCAAGGGAGCCATCAAAGTGCGCTTAGATTAGTTAAGCCTCACTGTAAGATTACTTAGAGAGTACAAGGATATGCAGTTTAGTCGTCTGTGATCCAATAAAATCTTACTATCCACAACGTATTTTACTGAAAATATGGTCATAATATGGTCAAAATATGCTTCTTTTATCATAATAGTATGGTGGTCATTTGACAGGATAGTGTTGGACCACTTGACCGCGGCCCTCGAAGGACCGAATAATAGCTTATGTCTGACAGATAGCTGTCATTTCCACCAACGGCACTTAGCTCATATCTTTAGCTGCCTCTTCTCCTGCTAAGTACTCCGTAATTTGCATCATGGCACGTGTGTCTGTTGTAGGAGAAGTGCCAAGGAAAAGGATCACCTGCCGGCTCCGAGGTCGCACAGAGGAAAACTGTGCAGAGAGACTCGGGGTTTGGGGGGGTGGGGAGAGAGGGGAGATACGGAGTAATCTCTCAGAGTCATTGTAAAGGACAATTGGAGGATCCCCTGAGAAGATAAGCTGACCAGTTATTACAACTAACGCTTCCAGACAGAAATTCTAACATAAAATTGACACTTTTGTCATCCACCCAACTTAGTCCTACCTAGCAGGCATATGGACCCATCTCCTTTGTTCGTGCCAGAAATTCACCAGAATAAAAACCAAATCGCATGGGGCAAAGCCCGCAGGTATCTCGAAGACAAGTGCCGCCCATTGAGCTTTTCAGAGATAATGCGCCCAATGATATGCATCGTGATAGGAAACGTTCAGCTTGCGCTGATCAGATATATTGACCGGAATGAGATTGCTGGACCAGATTAAACAAAAACCGAGAGTCGTTGCAGGGCATGATGAGGGCGTCGTCTCTGCCTTCCTTCTTTCGGGACGTGTGACAAACCATCAGGCTTTGACTGCTTTGGAGAGATCGAGTTCCTCCACGGAATCAAGACTTCCTCTCCTTGGCAAATCGTCCGCAGAGCTGTCAACACTCAGGGTATGCAACAGGGGCTCGCAGACCGGCTGCTCTTCTTCCTCACAAGGACGATCTGTGCGTCCTTCAACTTCCTCCATCCAGAAGCTTTCAAAGGCTCCGATGGCACAAACAATCCCTCCAATCCACCATGCCAGCCCGTTGTATCCCATCTTCAGACCAGCAGTATGAAAGAAACCGGCCGTGGTTGGGCCAAGAGCTCTGGCCAAGCAGGCGACAGATGCAGCAACACCATTGATGGATCCAAGAACGGCTTTTGAGGGTGCAGCATTGGCGATGAGAATTGCCGTGGAAGGAAAGGCAATAACGTGAAATGTGATCTTGATAATCAGACAGGCATATATACCGAGCTTCTGAAGTTGGCACGGCAACAGCACTAGATAAGGCACGATGAAGTAGAGCAACGGCCAGACGAGCAAGACAAATCGAAATGTCCTCAAGGTGCCCAGCCGCCGGACAAGGAAGGGAAAGAGGAAAAGTTGTGCCACCATGGAATAGACGCCTTGAACGGCCATCATGAATCCAATCGTCTTGGTGGACATGGCGAAGCCTCCAGAAAATTTGAAGGGTAGCTGTGGCTTCTCATGAGAAACTGGCTCACTCAGGAACAAGGGCATCAAAATATCGAATGACACGCTGTGGCTGTTGTCGAGTTAGCGCAAGATGCATATTGGAACAGATCAATTTACTTACTAAGCAAGGACGCCATATGCTACGATCACGAGAATGACTTGTCTATTCAGGATATTGATGAACCCTTGAGCTTCTCTGCTGGACTGGCGACTTTCAACGTCAGAGCGGGGAGACAGGTCAATCCTCGACACCGATAAAATCCGAGGTGACCCTTCCGTGCTTCTGTAACCCGGTGGCTGGTCATCTTCGATCGAGGATGCATGGTCCTCATAGCAAATGCTACTCTTTGCCTCTGCCTCTGCCGGAAATCCGAAAGTGGTTCCGAGTGCTTTTTGAAGAAGAACATTGCCAAGCCTTCTGCCCCAGTCAGATCTATGCCTTTTATCTGCATGGGTCTCCTCGAGGAACAATATTCCGATTGTGATGCCGAAGATTAGTATGACCACACAGACCAGATTGGGCAGCAGAAAAGGGTATGTCTCAAAGATCGAGCCTTGATTGAAGAGCCAGGGGTATGCGGTGCAAGGCTGAGCAAGGGCGCCGCCCATGACAGGTCCAATAATCGAGCCAAGACACCATACAAAGGGCATGATCGAGTATGCTCGTGGCTGATGTTCTTTGACCGTCACAAGTTCTGCTACCGTAGTCTGCAAGACTCCAACATTCCCATTTAGCAAACCGCCCACAGCTCTTGCAATTATCGCAGTCTGCAAGTTGGTTGCAAAACCAAAAATGATCATGCTCAGGGCCGTGCCCATCAATCCGAATATGAGCACTGGCTTTCTTCCCACTTTATCGCTGATTCGACCCCATACGATGCCGGTCGAGAATTCTGCAAAGGCGAAGGAAGTGATGAGCATACCTGCATATATCGAGATATGATCGGGATCTGTGGCGATGTTGAAGCTCTCAATCATTCGATAAGCATAAGGGAAGATGGACATGAAGGCGATCGGCTCGCAGATTCGACATAACGCTGAGGTTCAAGCGTCAGCAGGCTTCTTTCCATCGCAGTGGCAGAGCAGAGACTGGGGAAGAGCAGCACCGCTGGATGCTCGCGAGGGAGGTCCACATACCCAGCACGAAGAGTTGTCTGGCGGGGAAGGAGTCTTGAGTCTTGTCTTTGCGGAGCAGCCGCTCATAGGTGCGCCATACTGTCCCCAACATCCTGACGGCGTCAGGGTGCTTGGAGAGCAAAAGGTGTGCTGGTACGCTGGAGTAGTAGACTGGCGGTGAGAGGTGGTGGATGGGGAGGACAAGAGAGAAAAAAGGAGAGGAAGGAGATATAAGCAATCCACAGAGATGGGCGGATGTGTGACAGGAAGACAGATGATGCGCAAATGTTATTGTTTGCTCAACCAATGCAGAGGCATCGCTTTAGAAGCAGCAGATTGCGTCTATCCTGTTCCGTAGGAAGGGAGAAGAACCAGCATATCAAAATCTGCAAAGGAAGAGGTGGTGGAGATGCTTGAGAGATGGCAAACCATCTCATATTAGAGGATAGAGGAGCATGGAGGCCCAATGTGTTCCATCGGCCAATTTCAGACAAAAAGGCAACAACCCAAGTGGTCCGGTCCTGACGCATAGTTACAGTGCCAGTGCGATATATTTGTAACCCATGCTTTTTGAAAGCTTGGAGGATTTGCCTTTGTGACGGGGGTTTTTTCTTTCGCCCTAAATTAGCCAAATAGATGGGCTGCAGCTTTGGCCTGCCAGCTCATTTCGATTTGACCAGAAATTGCAGAATGAGAGACCAGGATTGCAAGGACCAACTTGCCGGGACAGTACTACGTAAACACTGGGCAATCGATAAGCGAAATGGCTAGGTTGCTTTTTTCCTTGTGGTGATGATCTTTGCGCGATTCTGTCCGTTATGATTTGTTTGTCAGGACCAGCAGAACCTAATTGCCCCTGACAGGTCGATACCAAGCAAACGCTACCTGGACAGATCCACCGGTTACACACATATCCTCCGAGAATGTCAAGCTTGACGACTTAGCGCGTAACAGCTTTGCAACGCAGATTGAGTAAAATGCTTCCCTACCCACTGTTGCTCACCGATAGTAGCATTTTAAGGTCACCACGTCGGATTCGACGCATCCAGTAGGCCGGAGTGTTGGGCAGCATCTCAGCAGACGTGTATGGCTACGGGCAAACCAGGCAACTGGATCCCTCGAGACCTGCGATGCAAAAATTGTTTTGTCGTCTGCTGTCGAGATTCGCTCACAAGAGGGGCGCAGTGTGTGGGTCCCCTATTCTCGCATGGCAATTCGGAAGAGTCAGCCGCCATGAAATGCGTGAAAAATGATGTAAGGTAACTTAGGGGGAAAAGGCAAATGTTAGCTTCAGCATTCAGGAGGCCGGAGCCCACTGGGCCCACCGCTCAAAGAGTCTAAACAACAAACAACACCTAGAGGCGATCCAGTAAGAGGAGGGGACTCCATTCAATTTTTCCCCGAATCGGTCAAGATTCAAGGGCTGAGAAGATGGAACGATTTTATTCCGGGGGAGCGGGTTTGCGGAACATGACCCATGCGGCTAATCACAGGCCACAAGTCCATTGTTCCCGTAGCTAGCCATGCTTCATTGCTCAATTGCAGCCCGCGCCCCCAAGCCCCTTGCTAAGCCCACAATCCCCTTTACTACTACGTAGTAGTAACTACGTATGTGCTCGCGATATTGATCGTCTTTTGCTGACGGAAGAGTAGCAGAATAAACTTTGAAACACAGCGAACACCCGCTAATACAACCAAATTAGTACAATGCTGACAACGCTGAACCTACCGTTCATCACAGACTGCTTGCTGCACAACATTTAAAAATGTGACTGATTGACGACAACGTTTCTTAGGCTTCTATATTTATGCAGCCAGCCCGGACTCCTGACCATGTTTCAATCTCAACGTCTGCCAGCGCCAGCGCAATTTGCCTTGCAGGAATGACCAAAGACGCATTCCTCCAAAGTCCCAGTGATGTGCTCTGCTGCGTTCGAGTCAGAGTGGCGGTGAGCAATCAAGGCAGTCAAGATTGCAAACCAACCACAAATGGAGCTCCTTTTCCAGCACTATCTCCAGTGACCCGAACACAGCCCGAAATCCTTGGAGCACATTGATAGTACTAGATTTTCTCGTCGGCCGGTCTCTGGCTTTTACACCAGGCCAATTGGATGCCGAGGTTGATCTCCCTGGCAAGATCTGGTGGCAAATGAGATACAATTCCTGACTGTGCAGCGGCAGCGCATATCGCAGAATTTTGACTTTGACCTGTGCTTCTTGCATCCCAGTCTAACCGATCAGGTGAGCTGCAGCTCGACCAGACAGATATGGTCTTAAACGGGTCCAGTGAGATCCATGACTCCTCCAGGCCGCTGCCGAGAGGCGGGTCGAAATCAGTAACGGCCCTCTTCGTTGGCATGGCATGGCATGGCATGATATGAATTTTCACGATGTTCCCCTACTTGCAAAGCGTCGTCACGCGACTACAGGGGGTATGACAATCCGTGGAGAAGTGCAGTCACATTATTCACAAGAGCCAGGCGACTTCTAGGCCTGGCTGCAAGAGCAGTGGCGCATTTGGTGTCTGTTGCTAATTCGGATATGACTTTTACGGAGGTGGTGCCTGACCACTTTGCTGCGGAGAAGAGAGTTGAGGTACGTAGGACTCCATGGAAATCTGTGTTAGCCTTTAGACTCTGGCCTCTAGCCTTTGGCCTTTGGCCGACATCCTGCTTGGCTTGACCTAAACTCTTAGCTAAGTTAGAGGCACTTGAGAGATCTCCATTGCATCGTTGACCACGCGGCGATTGCATCCAGCCTAAGTAGCCACTAACTAGCAGCTAGCCAGTTTGCAATGCTGAAACCTCCCTGACGCTAAGTTTGGCAGTCGCTGTCAGACTGGGCAGTGGCCGTGGCCGTGGCCGAGGCTGCTTAACCCGCCGCCCCCAGCGAATCTCCCCTCGTATGCTAGATCCTCCAGATGTTTACCCGAGGCATCCCTCAACTCCTCTTGTCTCCGCTCCCCGTCGCCAATCCGAGGTCCAGCAGAGAATGGTGATGATACGTACATCGTTCCAGCTGTTCAGCTGACAAGACCAGGAACAGCAGCTGTTCTGGCGGTGCAGAAGTCCCCTGGTCAGAATCATGCGCTGTTCAACGCTGAGCTGTAGAATCCAAGTGACAGGTCGGTATTTATATCATCGTCAGCACACATCTTGGTTACTTGGTTACGTTATCCTTGTTCTACAGTCGCTGCGCCACTCTATGTGGTCAGGACATATAGAGTACCCCACTCGTCGCTACTCCTCTCTTGTACCTACTCAATACAGCGGTCTCGTCAGTGGTTCGCGGATGGACTGCATGTCCACCTGATATGGGTCACCTGCTCAAGACTGCGCAAATAAAGCTTGGTTGAGCGGTGTGCGAGGAGTGGATTGAATCCATGGCCATGCAGAACCTAATCCCTCATTCTCGCTTTGTGATCAAAACCGGGTGTTGCAGGTAGCACATTGAACCATACAGAAGCCCAATAAGCCGCATGACTCATCACGCGTGGCATCATGCCACTGCGCCTACAAGTGCACCGAAGATCTGACAGGTACAGGATTGACCATTTCAAGCAGCGCGAAGACCTTGGTGTGCAATCCATCGCCGATGCCTGCTTGTCAGGACACTTGTCTTATCAAATCTTCTCAATTTTGTTATGGTGTGGCGGTTGACTGAGGAGACATGCAACATCTCCAACATCGAACACATGACCCTTCTCCCTCTCGGATCATCTCGCTTCGGTTGAGATGTGCAGCATTGAAGCAAGGATGTGCCCGCTTGGAGATCTCAAGCGCCGAGGTTTCAAGAAGCAATACATATCCGCTGTTGAGATGCGTGACGGGAGCATGAATTTTCTTATCTCATAGGTTTTGGGCGAAGACGTGTTGCTTGTCAAGATGCGGCCCTGTCCTCTAGACTGCCTTGGGCTGATTGGCCGATCTTGAACATCACGATAAGCCGCAATGCATGAGCAGCTGAGGAAGCCTGCGTAACCACATGTGCTTAGAATACTACTCCGTACAAGCAGCAGCGAATTAGCAAAGAAATCCCAACACGTTGCATAGCGTCTTCAGACTCTGGTTTCGTGCCCTGAAATGTAGGAACACCCATTCTATGAACTCCCCTCCAATACTTCAAACCGTCGGTACCAAACGGTCTTATCCCTCTGACGAGAACTCCCCCACTCCTCTTCCGACCCAAGCGAATGTGGGCGCAACCTCGCCCTCGAATTCAGCGGCTGGCAGTTCTGCCTTTCGGAATGTCAGTGCGTGTGAGCGATGTCGCAAAAGAAAGAACCGATGCGACCAGCGTCTGCCTGCCTGCGCAGCCTGTTCCAAAGTGGGGTTGAGATGCGTAGGAATAGATCCTATCACCAAGCAGGAAATCCCAAGAAGCTATGTCTTTTATCTCGAAACGCGCCTGGCATACTTCGAATCACTTCTGGTCGCCAACCACATAGCCTTTGAGCCTCCGGACGCCTTCGATGTGGACTCGAAGCTGGTCGAGCAAGGCATCGTGCGTTCGCCCCATGAGGCAAGGAGCTCCTTCACCGATGGCTCCGGGAGCACAGGCATTACACCGGGCAAGTCACACGATGCGGCATGGGAGAAGAAACAAGAAGAGGCAAAGAAGCTCAACCAGCTGGTGTCAAACATTGGCATGGTATCCGTTCAGGGTGCTTCAGACCCCCGATATCTTGGGTCGACTTCCGGCATATCATTCGCCCGGGTGGTGTTCGCTGCGGTCAAGAGCTCGGTTTCGAGCAACCACAACTCCGAGAGGAATGCAGTACGGCCCAGCAAGCCTCTCACCAATGTCGCCAACAGCGGTACCACCATGAGGGATTCGTGCTTTGGGCTACAGACCAAACCGACGATCAGGAGAGCAGCCTTTCCCGACCGAGAATTGGGTGAGAAGCTCGTCAGGTTGTATTTTGAGCACGCCAACCCACAGATCCCCATACTACATCGGAACGAATTCATGGAGCTATTCGACCGAGCATACACGGTAGAAGATCGTCAGCGGACCCCCCGAGAGCTGTACATGCTGAATATTGTCTTTGCCATTGGGGCTGGCATCATCTTCGGTTCTTCCGACCCTGATCCTGCTTCGATGCAACATTCCGAGACCCAGCAGGAACCATCATCACCGACAAGCAAAAGAGTGAAGATGTCCGGTCTGCAACACCAGCCGGAAGAGTATCATGCATCCGCCATCGTACACTTGGAGTCCTTTCTGGGTTCGTCTTCTGCAACCGACCGTCCTGACGGGTTTGGTGGTGGTTTGGAAGAGCTTCAAGCAGTATTGCTTCTGGCCGGTTTCGCGCTGCTGCGCCCTGTTGCACCTGGTCTGTGGTACATCACCGGTGTTGCGGTGCGATTAGCAATAGATCTGGGTCTACATTTCGAGGACGGTACCGGCATTGATGACTCTAATGAGAAAGTGCCCGTCTCCAGCGATGACATTGACATGGATGCCGAAGCACCAAAATCGCAGACGGCGGCGAGTTCTATCGATGCTAGGGAAAAAGGTCGGCGAGAATGGGTGAGAGATCTCCGAAGGCGCCTTTGGTGGTGTGTCTATTCCTTGGACAGGCTTGTGAGTACTTGTGTTGGCCGACCTTTTGGCATCACAGATCAGGTGGTGACCACAGAATTCCCATCTTTACTCGATGATCAATACATCACCCGAAATGGGTTTCTGCGACCAACTGAGCAAGCCTCAGCCAGCTACAAGCATGTTGCCTACCATTACTTTCGCCTACGTCTTCTACAGTCGGAGATTCTTCAGGTACTGCAATATCAGCAGGCCCAGATCGCGAGGCGAACCGGCACCAACAGCCAAAATGAATACATGCATACAAGATTGCCATCACCCTTCCTCGCCAACTTCGGTTCTTTCCGGTCATGGCGAAAAGACGTTGATCGCAGGCTGTGGGAATGGAAAGAGTCGACTCCATCATCTGATGAAACCGGAGTTGAGTTCTCAGTGGACTTCCTTACACTCAATTACTGGCAGGCCTTGATCATGCTTTACCGGCAGAGCCTAACAGTTCCAGGCCCATTGGCGGCAATGAGTCTGAAGGAGGAAGCGTCCAGTCCATCAATGGCGAGCATGGAGGACCACGAAGACGAGAGCGATGTTTTTCTCAAGGTGGCGGAAGCTGGTCAGAGAGTACTGAAGCTTTATCGTCAGCTTCATCGAGTCAGGCTGGTGAATTACACTTACCTTGCAACGCATCATCTGTTCATGGCTGGAATATCATTTCTCTACGCTATCTGGCATTCGCCTCTAGTGCGCAGCCGTCTGGTAAGCCATCTGGTCTGTTCGTTCAACATCAAGCTAAATATGATAGACGCTGGACGATGTCGACTTCACCATCCTTGCCGCCACCTCGGTGCTTGGTGACCTGATGGAGAAATGTCCCCCAGCAGAAGCATGCAGAGACGCGTTTGAGAGAATGAGCAGAGCCACCGTGCAAATGTGCATCTCGACCACTGGGTTTGGCGATGATGTCAAAAGTAGTCAACCGCGGAATCAGTCAGATGCAGCAATCCAGCATTCATTCACTGGCACAACTACAGGGCCTGCCTGTCCCCATCTCACCGACCACCAGTTTCCAAGACAGCGGCCAGAAGTGAAGGCCAAACCTCGCAGGCCACCCCCAAGATTCGACATGAACCTTCAAGATTTGTTTCCGGAAGATATCGACCATGACGACGCTGCTTCGCAACCACATTTACGACAGTGTCGGCCCCAACAACTGCGTCAACAACATCACCAGGTTCTGACGCAGCCGCAGCCGCAGATGCCTTCTCGACAACACTCATTTCCACCAACTCTAGATTCGCTGAACAATCGAATCAACGCCGGGCTCGGTATCAATGCAACCCAACCTTCCAGCGGTGTCATGGCCCAGCATTCCGATCGACCACCTCAGCAGCAGCAGCAGATACAGGGAAGCCTATCCTCGTCTCCGAGTCTTTATAATGCCAGCTCCTTTGATCCAGATGTGACAAACGTGCCAGAACTCGACTTCTTACAATCGACTGATTTCAACCAGGATTTTGACACAGCGGGTATCGACTTGGGGTTTGGACCTGGCCTGGACTTCCAGCATGATTGGAGCGACGGGACAGGTGTCGACATATTCGATGGATTCTTCTTTGGTAATGCTGCTGGTTGATCTGGGAGGGGGGAAAAGCGGAGCGGTGTCGGTGATATCGAAGCCATGTGGAATTCTGGACTCCATAATGTCCATCTATCACTCTATCACCTCTCAACATAGGAAGCGGACATTGTCCTCAAAAATAGATTTCTCAATGAACACACAGTCATACGTATGTTTCCGTCAGCAGTTTGTGTTCTCATTCATACTCTTATTCATATTCTCCCCGCTCCTCTTGAATCGAATCTCTGTAGGGCCACAGATATTCCACCATCTTGCACGCCTTGCTCGAGTCTTAAGAGTTATACACCGGCAGTCATACTTACTTCATACTTACCACACCTCCGTACTTTTTACATTCACAATTAGTGTCTAGATGACCGAACCTCCCCACGGCCGCAATCCTACCCGGATCCAATACACTATTCTAAGTATATCCCGGAACAGCCATTCCCCTCTCCGCATCCGGGACATCTTATTTAAATAAATACCGAACAGCAACATCGACATCCGCCCTCCAGCTCCACCCCTGGTTCTCATTCCCATCTCTTCACCATCAAGTATAATAATACCCCAAAAAATA